GTCATGTAATGGCAAATATAAATCAATGCAAAATATTATCACTGCGAACACCACGATTACTGGGCTGAAGGAAAATATCGCATACAATACAATGAACTTTATGAGTAAATAAATAAATAATAAAATTAATTATAAGTAAACTTTCCTATCCATCACATCAAGAGAGTTGTAGCTGCTTTCCACTCGTTATTGGTCGTGAGTTTACCATTTTCCGACATTTAGAACGAGCAACGTATGTATTAGGTTCACTAAAAACTGACAGAATTTTTTTATACGGTATCTTTATTTTCAAAAGTGCCTTTTTGGTGTACTTACTTATCTAATTGAAATTAATCTCTTGGGGTCGGGCTAAAAGTTCTAACAACAAAATGAATATTTTTTAGTATTTTTTCACATCGCCATGGAGAACATTACTAAAATTCTAGTAATACAGTTTGGAGACTGGATTTAGGACACATTTTTCCTTTCCACACCGGCGAAATCGCTGCGTGCTGGAGGAAAACTGGTAAATAAATAAAACGTCACTTGTTTAACCACTAGAAACCATGTGACTGGCACTAAGTAAACCAATAAAACTTGACATAACTTGATCACTAGCTGATCATTAATCACACTCCATTAAAACTATCATCAGTCAGATACCTACACACGTAACACTCATAGAGTCAGACACGATATCACGCCTACGGCCTATCGTTCTGCGCAAGGGATAAGCGTGGTACAAGAACTTTTCAGAAGAAGATACCTGTGTTCTTATTTCTAAGACGTCGTATATGGAATTTGTTATTATATTTACATACATACATAACATCACGCCTTTTATCCCCGAAGGGGTAGGCAGAGGTGCACATTATGCCACTACAATTTAACACCCACTTTTCACTATTTATGTTATGAGTCCCATGTATTAGGGGTGAGTTATTATATTTATAGATAGAGTAATTGTTTTTAATTCGATCAAAGTTTCTATTCTGGTTTTTTGAAGGGGAGAAAATCATACAATTAATTCTCCCGTCTTGGGTGAGGTGGGAAGAAGTGTCAGACTCTTATTGACCAAAAACCGCCCCGTTTCTATTCCTGCTTTGAACCAAAGCCCTGGTTACCCGTTAGGTTTTCCGCAAGCTCCAAACTGGGCTTCATCGAAACTGCCATTGACAACAGCCAGTGTCAGTCCACTGTTGGACTACAAACCTCCTCTAATAAATAAGAGGTCTCTTGCCATAATCTATAAATGTTGCTACCCTGTTTATATCAAATCTGTATAATCCTTTAATTTTACCTTATGATACCCGGGAAGTAGGTTAGGTGCCTAATTATATAATGTAACTATTGCAAATTTTAACCTTACAACAAATTGCGACAACATTTCCTGAAATATAATGGACCTGTCTACTTGACTATTTATAGTATAGTTTTTAAACAAATTAAAAAATCAAATCCAAGATCATTATATAAGTAATGTAAAATATTAGGTTTTGAATTAGACTCGATATAGACAAAATACAACTTATTTTGTTTATAAAAATAAATTTTGTAACAAGAAACCTACTGTTTTTGTCTATCTAGTAATTCTAGGTATAATATTATACTTTAAAAATAGCTAAGTACAATTTTTAAAAATGTTCGTTAGCACAATTTGAAGGCCACTGAGTCTTAAATATAATATTCGGGTCGAAAACAAGTATTGAGGTTTCAATTCTAAAATTATCATTGATCGAGCATAACCACCACATCAATATTGTGATCCTTAATTTCCAAATTGTTTTACAAAAGGTATTACATTGCAGGTTATGGAACAAATACATCTGCACACTCAAAATATTAAGACGTGCTGTATATTATTTTATATTACCTACACCAGCTGCACCTCATTCTTCCGATTCGACTGAAAATACGGAAGCATTTACACAACTTATTCAGAATTTTACGACTGATGATGATGATGGTGACTAGTCAATCAAAAAATTTGCACAAACGTATCATAAAGTCATAATCAATTTAACATGATGATTGATTACCCATAAAGATAACGCCGTCTGACAATATTTCTAAAGAAAACTGTTGACTGTTCATACATATCGTCATAAATTCATAGAACAAACTGAAAACATGAAAAATATGACGATAAAAATTAATGAAAACAGTAACTTATTATAAAACGTCATTTCCTGAGCGCAGACAGCAATGTAGAAAATCAGAATCAAACATATTATGTAATGAAAATATATTAATTCAGGAAATTCAATTTCAAGTGTGGGAGAGCCATGCTTCGGCACGAATGGGCTGGCTCGACCGGAGTGATACCACGGCCTCACAGAAAACCGACGTGAAGCAACGCTTGCGTTGTGTTTCGTCGTGTGAGTGAGGTTACCGGAGGCCCAATTACCCTCCCCTTCCCCCAATCTCCCCAATCCCTAAATCCCCAACGATCCTCAAACTCCTAATCCCCAAAAGGCCGGTAACGCACTTGTAACGCCTTTGATGTTCTAGGTGTCCATGGGCGACGTCGATTGCTTACCATCAGGTGATCCGTCTGCTCAAAAAAATGGGAAATTTTACAATACATGTTACAATTTATGTAATTCTAATCTATGTTATGTTTTACTATTACACATGCAAAGAATGCAAATAATTTCCAGACCTCATCTAAAATGTCATTGTGGTCTAAAATCTAAACACAACAACACAAACAATGTCCCGAGGATTAAAGTTAATTGCCTAAGTTAATAAAATTTCCTTATTGCTACATTATCACATAACAACTAATTTAGTACTTACAAACCCTAAATGGGTTAGTAAATAATACAAGACACGGGACACAAGTACCTACAATAAAAATATGTCAGTTTGTAATATTAATTAATCATTAAAGATATTATAATATAATCACTGTATAACATAAATTAGGAAGTTATAATGAGCGTTAAATACTCTTATCATTAAAATACATTTTAAAGCAAAATCTTAGTTCTTTGTTATCGTTCAAATAATACTACTCTAAGTGTTAATTGTAACTATTTTAATAACAATCTTTTTTTATTACTTCACCTCAGTATTTTTTTCAGGCTTCAGGAAAAGGAGAAGCAGGGATTAAAGAAAACGTAAGCCGTGCTCAATCGTAGACCGCTTCATCGCTTACCATCAGGCGAGATAGTGGTCAATTGTCGGCCCATCAAATGTTTAAAAAGAAACGCATATTTTCAGCTACTTTTATAATGAACGCATATTTTCAGCACCTAACATAACAAAAGTCACCCTATTAACAACAACAGAAAATACAGTTGCACCCTTAGTGCTCATTTTAATAATTGATTGATTGCACGGTTGGCGAGGTGGCTGGGCAACCGGCTGCCGCGCAACGTGTCGCGGGTTCGATTCCCGCACGGAACAATTTTTTGTGTGATCCACAGATTGTTGTTCCGGGTCTGGGTGTCATGTGTATGTGAACTTGTATATTTGTAAAAGCATCCACGATACAGGAGAAAATCCTAGTGTGGGGAAAAGTGAAAAAAAATACAGAAACAATGAAAATTTCAATAACACGTCATTAAATACAGCAATAAAACGCCTAATAGTAAAGTTTATTATAGGGATCGAACCGAGACCATTAAGTAGTAGATCTACCAACAAACATCTCTTCAACTGTACAGATTGTAGACAAACACATGAAACAAGCTTAGATACCACTTATGTTTGAGGGTGGAAAATCATACAATGACTCAACTGACATTCCACCTTGACAGTGTGAAAAGTCTAACTTTTACTGACTAAAACTACCCCGTCCTAAGTCGTGATTCGAGCCGGAGTCCCAGCAACCCGTAGGGTCTCCGTCTCGGCGCGTCGCGTTCCGCGCGCGCCTCAAAGAGCCATCAGACCACCACAGATGGGGCCCAATAGGGCCGATGCCGATTCGGAGTCGCGGAGAACCTAACGGGTAACCGGGGCTCCGGCTCGACGTGCAGGAGAAGGAACGGGGTGGTTTTTAGTCAGTAAGAGTCTGACACTCCCTCCCGCCTCACCCAGGCGGGGGCAGTCATTCGATGATTTTCCCCCCTTAAAAAAAAAAAGGGTCTCCGTCTACTTTCTGTTAATACCACTTAGATAGTTCAATACTATAAAATTACATAAACCATACTCGCTGTCTAGGTGAAAAACTCAAGCGTTTTCCCTGTTTTTTCGAATGAACTACAATATATATACTTTGTTCGTTATATATTTTCAACTGCTTTTTAAAATTACATAGTAATTATTATGTATGTATCTAATAATAATTTATTTTATAGTACAATTGTTTGTTCCGGAAATTTGAAGGGAGGCCTATATTGCACCATGATTGCAACACTACGTGAAAGTCTGAAAAATTACATAAGTATTAATATAGTATAGTATTTTTTTTAATTCTGATCGTACTCGACCAGAAAGAAAATCCTATAAGTACTCAGTATAAAATGGTGCTGTAAAATATATTTGATGTTTTACGTATAGTACCTAAAGCATCAAAAATAACTAAAAATAAAAAAAATGTCTCAAAAATATGGTACTGACTTCAGGAAATAAAAAACAGAAAACTTGTCACAATTTGTCTATTGTTAAGTGCCACAAGTACCTAATGATAGAAATTCTACATAAACTTTTAATAAATTACGTCAAATGACTGTGTGATAAAATACATGGTCGCTTGACTTGAATGTCAATATCATTTATTTATGTAAAAATTCTATACGAATCGTGCTTTAAATATTCTACACGCATAATTAAAAATTTTGGGGCACCGAAACGCGCGATTGTCCTGGCTTTGATTGTATTGCCCTCTGTCTACTGAAAATTGGGCGCCGAAGTAAATAGACTCGGGGGCGGCGGCCTCTTACAATAAATACATGTGCATGGGAATGCGGCGTATTATTGACATTGACATGTGGTAATGTATTTGATGAGTAAATAGTGTAATTACGAATGGTGAGTAGAAACAAGGTAGAAAGGCACACGGTGGGGCGGAGCGAGGCATGCGCAGCGTCGCGCGCGCAGTGGGCCGGCGGAGCGCGCGCGTGCCAGTGCCTCTCGTCCCGCGTCCGCGACCAGCCCGCGACGCGTCTGCTCCCGCGCCCGCGCCCGCGTCTGCGACCGCTCAGCGTCTCACCCGACGGCGGCCTTTCTATAAAGACTAGCCGGCGCGAACACTCGCACGCAGTCACGACCCAACCACTCACTCGTGCACCCCGCTGACACGCGACATACATTACCCCGCGAAACACTTGACTCGCAACTCGCCTCAAGGAAGGAAGTAATCATCACCAGATAAACATCTCAGCAACAATGGCAGAAAACGACTGGGGATACAGCGGCGAGAACGGTGAGTCCAACCTCAATGTTAAGTGCAGCGAGCGGCGCGGACCGGTTTGTTTACATCGAGGCACGTGACACCATGTAAATAAAACTCCGAAAAGCTAACTTCTGATTTTTCAATCCGGATTCAGTGATAAAGTGTGTTTTCTGAATATTGTGTTGTTCCGGATGTATACTTAGAGCAAACACTGAAGTGTACTTTGAACAATGATAATTATGGAAAAACTAGTTAAAAGTTATAGACTAAGTACATGATATATGTACAAGAAGGGTTCCTATTCCAGTAGCCGTGTTTACTTTTGATAACAGTTAAGCTGACATTAGATGATACTTTCGCTATGCACATCGCTGCAATCAGAGCAAAACCGTATTATTTATCAGTACATTACCGTGGAAAGATAAAACATGACAGTGAACAACTAAATAAGTTCGCCATTGACGTAATGTGGTTTGTTTCAAACTTTATCTAAATTAGTTTCATTCATATGTTTTGTAACACCTGTTGATTTCATGATCCGAACATTATTTGGAATGCGATTACGTTATTTGTTTAATTAAATGGCACGAAATGAATGAATATCTGTATCTTATTTACTGAACGGCTATCCGCCTCGGTTATTCACAATAATAACTAATTACTTAGTATTTGTATGTACGTCATTTACAAAGGTAAAGCTAACGAAATCGTTTATTGCTTAGGTACGTGTTGTTGACTTTGTTAATTCTTAACATACATACGTGAACTTAGCGGCTACACGCAAAATGTGCTTTAAACCCGAGATAAATATTTATTTGTAATAGTAAAACAAAAAAGTTTTTTACGTAAAATCAGAAATTGGTGCCAAGAGTTGGCGCGGAGTTGCGTGAGGCGATGGCTGGCCTACTTAAATCCGTTCGGTAAGCCGGTTCCACTAATGAAACTTCTTCTGTACTAGTACGATACACCAATTGCCTTCTTTGTATTAACAACTTTTATCGTGAAACGCTGGAGGCAAACCAGTTCGACGCCAAAAAGATCCAAAAGCCCGCAAATCCTTATACGTCTCGAGTCTCGATTGTTGAGAGCTCAAGACACAAACCTGACCTGATGTAACAAAGTGCAGGAAAAATATTTAAAAAAATACCCTATTCCTTAGAATTCAAATCGACGTGACGTAAATATTCTCTGATACTATTGCTCTCGTTTTTATTTCTTTGATTGCATTTTAATAAATTCTTAACATAACCAACATTTGTAAGTAAAATATAAACAGTTACCTGGTAAACGGTAATCTTAAAGCTAATAAATGTAATTGTTACTTCCTATTTAACATCTATGCGAAAAACAATATGCACCTATAGTGAACAAAAAATTACGCTGTTCTGATCCTTCAACTGAAAACATTTTTAAAATCATTATTGTATCGAAGTTATTATTAGGTACTAATGTATCTTAGAGTGACGTACTATTAATATAGAAATACTTCAAATGAACTGCAATCAGAGCCATTGAGGCAGCAAGTGGGTAACAATGTTTGTCGCGTAACTCATTAATAGTACGACTTCTCTGCTTTAATGTTTAATGAATGTGGTTTTTCTAACAATATCTAAGTATTCGCTGAGGCAAATTCATTATTATGTTAAGTAGTCTAAGAGTCATGAAAGAATTCACGGTAGTCGCTTTATTTACCGTGACTAATGTCTTGTGATCTTTTCCAAAAATGTTCAAAATAAGACATCATTTACTTATCATAGTTCAGTTTTGTTTCACTTCTTCGTTTTGTCTTATACACAAAGTAACATCAAGTCACTCGTTTGTCTATTTCGGATTTCAATGACAGCCATCAATCAAATGTATTGTCTCGTTCCTATTTCCTTTTTCATTGAATCGTTCGAGAATAGCACAAACAAATTAATCTTTGTCAAATTAAATTTTAAAAGTACGTCATCGGATCATCAAAAATCATCTACTTGATAAATATTTATGGAATTGAACTGATTTATTAGTATTGGATAAATGGATATAAAGCGAAAATTTTAGATAAGTTATTTATATTTAGTTTATTTATAGTAATGGATGATTTTTCACGTCATCGTAGTTCTACTGAAAATTGAGAACGTTTAAAAATTGTTTATTTTTTTAACATAAACGAAATTAAATGAAAAATTAAAGCTGTATCTAATAATTCCACCAAAGCCTCTATTACGTCTGAACTCTGACCAGATTTTTGACCGTAACAATAGAGGCCACACAATGGGTTTCGTTCCAATGACTACCTCAAAGCGAAATAAAGAAGTGGTAGACAACACGATCTACCACAAACCTAACAATATCAAATTTACTTACATATCTCCATCACCCTTAAAATTCAATTGAATTCTAAAAAGTGTGCAGTTTATCCAATCGCTTGAAATAAAATGTAACTAATTTGAATTGTAAAATGGCAAACAATTAGCTATCAATTCAAGTCGATCCAAGATGGACGGTTAACTTTCTTTTGGTTGTTTCAAAATGAAATCTTAATAACTAAATAGAGATATTACAGCCAGTTTCTTTTCAAATTACAGTAATTATGTATGTAGATACTTTTCACTACTAGATTAAATTAAGTATCCTATCATCTTCTAAGTATAGAACTGTTCGGTACTAATATTTGCACAAAACAATTCGTTTTGTTTCTAATTTTTACTCGTTTTACAGCGTGTATCCGTGTTTCTGCATAGATTGTTCAAACGCTACATGATCACAATAAGACGTGTTTTACATGCGCCGTTAGACTCTTATCTATGCAAAGGTAACATTATTTTTTCATGGCGTATTATGCACAAGCACGAAAGTATTTTTCATACAATCTTTAATACACCGGAGAACAATAAAAATGTAGACAAGGGTTACGTTATAGTTTAATTTCCTATAGCTGTGAAATTGCAAAGGCAGCATAAAGATGAATATTATGACTGATCACTGCTAGAGCCTCCATTCGAACAATGAAATCGGTCGCATAATGGCCATTTAATGACAATCATCTATTTAATTACTCATTTTTTGTAATCGTAAATTAGGTGCAATCAATGTAACAAACACAATTCAAAGAAAAAAATGCCAAAAGGATAAATACTCCGCTCTATTTAGCACTGCCCCGAATTGAGCGCTGCTAAACCAATTCTAAAACCTATCGCGTACAACTGAAGGTTCGTTTATTCATGGACACTTTACATTTCGTAATCGTCACATACTTAAATGTTTATGGCTCGTTGACCACCAACATGACAATTTGACCCGTTTGCTCATAATCCAATAAACTCCAAAAAAAACTGTCCGCCAACTATTTCAGTTGTAGCAATAAATCTTTTGCTTCCGTTTTATGAAATGTGTCGAGTTCTGTATCGAGAACATTGTTGGTGCTACATGGTTAAATATATTATCCACGCGTTCTTGTACCACATTGCAGGACTCACAAATAACATTTTCGTACAAAGCCCTCGAAAATTCCACGTGTTTGTAGACGAGACACTGTCCTCTTCCAATCAATTGTAGACATAGGGTGAATATGGGATGAATAAAACATTTAATATACATGCAATCCATCTCATCTGTATGAGCCTCCATTACCTAAGCGCTGTCTTCGCGTACAGCTAAGTAATTGGCCAACTAGACATGTATAAAAACCGATTACAATAACGACAGTTTAGCGAAAATGATGACAATAAATAGCTGTTTAGATAATAAAAAAACTTAATTTCTTAGACTAATTTAAATCACATTTTATCGTATTCTGCATAGAGCTTGATTTTCATTATATTTTCAGTTTTCACACATCCATATGTCTTAAGTAAATACATGATTTTAGTAAAATCCGAAGTATTTTACATAAGTAACCGTATTCTACATAACGCGAACAACAAAAATAAATACAATGTTTTACGCCTCATTGTAGCACTCAATAGAAATTATTTATTTATCAATTCTTATATACAAGTTAATCGATGTATATATTTGATTTCAGTTTCATCGAATTGGTTAGTCCGCGAATTTGGTGGCAAAAAATATTTCCACATGACTAAACTCGAACAAACAAAATGTCGTACAATAAATGTTTACACGTCGACCAACACAGCTAACAGACAAATTAGTCAGTCAAAACTAAGTGATAATTTACTCCACCATCTAACATTATCATGGTAATATCAGGATTTATTAAAATATAACAGAAATTTGAGCTTGTGTATTAAATAAGTTGTTTTGAAACTATGCAAAGAAAATCGCCAGTTTTATCCAGTTTCCAATAACGAACATTTAGTATCTAGATATGACTTTAATACTTTAGTAATTGAAGTTTAAAAGGTAATTAGGAAAAACGTAAAGCCTTTTTAGAACTAAATAAAACCATAAATAATGATTTAACCAATACCTCTATTTGTAAGTATCCAAGTACATAGATGCCGACCCGTAATCATGAACATCTTATATCTGATGACAGACTGCCTTAAAAAACACGGAGAAAAAACTGCAGGATATACCTATGACGTCGGTACATATGTATTATGTGTACGATTGTAAATAATACATGGTTGTATAGGTACTGTTTGATAGCGTGTAGCTAATGTCAGGTTATTAGAGTTCACAGTAGCCATTATTGAACAATGATGAGACTGGAGGCGGACTCGTCCCTCATCCAATTGTCACTAAATACATGGTGGCTATGTACTAAGATTCTCTTCTTACGCAAAAAGTAAAAACTTCTTTTTAATAGGTGCGTAAATAAATTAATAATTAACTGACATTGTTAATGTTCTTCTTGATTTGAGTTAGTAGGCGTTTGGCGGCTGACAGTGACGGCCTCGTCCGTGTCGCTCCATTACGGAAACGAAGGTTAATCGGTTCATATTTTCTATCAACTGTTAACTCAATAAGGAAATAATTATAATCTTACGTTGTCGTGCTAAATTACTTCGGTGTTCTGGACCTCGCACTCGCAATTCACTTGCGCATGAATTGAATTGTAGCGTGTGACCGTGCGACTAGTCGTAGACGTGTGGCATGAGCATGCAACTACAGTCTGCTCTCGTTATATTGTCACCGATATATTTTTATATTCATTTAATATATTAACCACTAAATAGGTTTTTACATTAATTTCTAACTAAAATTAAACCATGATTTTAACCAATTTTAGTAAGTTTTTACTAAACACAACTTTGTAAAACGAATCTTTGTAGCACCTGCAAATACATTTTGCATGCACATGCTGTATAAACGGTTCAACTTAGTTCATTACCGTTGCCTTTCCGAGGTTGAGGCTGAGATTGTAAATAGAGGCTTGTACAATACAGACTATTATCTTGTTATATGATATACTTGTGTTATTAAGTCTCAGTGACATTGCAAAAGATAGCGAATGTTTACAGCCATTCGGAACAGTAATTTACATCACGAGCGGGTTAAAGTCCCAACCGCTTCCCCAATACTTAACCGCACAGGTTTATACCATTACTCACTTAAAGGTGAATACCTACTATAAAACTTAATCACCTTTAGTGACCTACTGAAATGGACTTCCTGACGAAAATGTCAAATGTTAACTAAGATAATGAGTAAGGGAGAGAGCACAGATTCAATGAAGGCGACAATCCGAGGGCACTTGTAAAAGTAGGCAAATAAATCTGTGAGAGATAAGTGCGGCCGAGGTCGGAGGCGACTGCACGCTCGTGACGTGCACTCTGCACAGCTACTCGGCCCTCACATCATCGGATAATCATTATTTAATGAACCATCCGTAAAACTCCCGATACATACGCAAATATAAACAAATAACTGACCATTATACCTAAAATATGTTCGTAAACATGCCAAATTAAAACAAACACAGGAAACAGTACATTTATCTCAAAAAATGTACTCTAACGAAAGATTACGTGGTATCAACAGGAACAGTAAGTAATAACACGTGGTACCTAGCGTGGCTTAGGTACAACACTGTATTTATGAACACAGATGTTTTAATTCAATATGTTACGTTGCGATCGTAATTTTGCAAACACATGTTTTGCACTGCAATTATTTTAGAACGAAATTGAATTAAAGTAATTCTTTGTTAACAGTACATTTAGTATGATTAACCTTTGACATTGTACACACGCTTTACGTAAACGAAGGGCGCAAGAAGCGTTGTTCTATGTAAGAAACGGTATGATAGGTCAGTGGGATTTCGGAATTAATCTTTGAATACAAAATGTAAACTAAACCAAAGAACCTACGACCCAACCTTCAACCAAATTATGTACGTTTTATCGAGAGGTAGCTTAGTAAATATTGCAATTGGATGCACTAACTGCAACATGTTTTCGTAACATACTTTATAAATAGTAATTGATTCAGTGCTACAATATAATATGTACATTGAATGAATCACCTGGTTTAATGTCGAATTGTGGTCAAGTATAACAAAAGATTATTAAGCTGAATATTGCGTAGGCGGTGGGGTTCTACGAAAATGTAGGAAAATAGTTGCAGAATATACGAAAAAGTGACGACGTAAAGTCGATAATTCTTAAAGATCATACCAATATTAGTCGAAGAGGATGCATGGACAGTTGTCAAATGCTATTCTTTTCAAGTTTCTTAACAAATGGATCTGTTGCTAATTGAACAGTTGTAAAATAAATTAACAAACCACATCGGAACCATACAAGTAGACGATCCTCACTCCTCACTAGGCAGTAAACCTGTCTATATTATTATTGAGCTTTGAACACAGATTTTATATCGGATGGTGATGATGCAGTCAGTATGGTGACGGACGAGAGCTGGATGCAATCATTACCACACCTGCATGATCCGCGTTTCAACACAGATAGATGTCATCCGTACCCAGACACCCGAGCCCTCGATTAAATGACATGGGAACGAAACTAGGAAACATTATATAGGTACCTACTTAGGGCATGAAAATAGATAAAACATTCATAGAGGAAAATACAAAACAGAAACATACTGTTTCCTATGTGTTGTTTAAATAACATCACGGATATTTTAATGAGATCAATGACATATATGTAGGTATAGGGTGAAAGATATCCCTAGATATTATACTATATATAGGTATCGGTGTATATGATCAATATCGGTATTGGTGATTGTTATTGACACACGCGCATCCGGTGTCCGAGCGGGCTCAATTGTTAAATGACCGGTACATATTTATTTTCATGAACATTGCCGCCAATGTGGGCTACATTATCTATGGATATTTATACTGGACAACCTTCACGACTGATTTGCGTTCCATCGACTGCAAAAAAATTAAAAAATACAGGTGGAATCAACAACATACCTTCATATTGTTTACGCTCGTTCTTAACCTCTTTTTTGCGTTAACCTTAACCAATTCATTTTACCAGTTTAAAAACAAAACGGTTAATTGAAACCACAATAAAACTTCGGAAAGGTCATTAAGAAGTGTTTCTTGACATTTTGTTATTAACAATGAGTATGTAGCTATAAATAAGTTAACATAAAAATAAGAATTGGCATAACACTCGGAAATACCTAGCCAAAGAATATCGTGACACGATAGACGGCTGGTAATAAGCAAAAAAATATTTACAAGTATTGCGAGCGAGACTTGCGAATGTTATCGTTGAAACTTTCACAAATTACGCGTTAGGAAGTTCATGCCCGTGGCCTCTGAATGAATCGGAACTAGACGTGTGACGATCGTCACTCGATACTAAACTACATCCTAATACGAATACTACTAAATAAATAACGTTACGAACATAGAAAGCCATTCGAGACCTACCAAGTAGGTACGTCAAGCATTTGAGTTTTAAAAGCATCACTCCACGGCTTACTTTATTTTCACGAAATTAAATATTTTGACGTTCAGAATCCGATAACAAACTCTCGTCACATCCATATGTTTGGAAATCATAAACATAAGACAGGGATTCATCATTATAAAAATGTTTCTTTAAGTATTTCTAAGTAGAGCAGCGTGCGGTGGCTTCCTGATAAGATAACACTAATGTGATAGTTAAACAAGCTGTCAGCCCATCATTCGTGTGTCGAGAGGTGTTCACTCATCTCTCACGTTGCGACGGGCGCTTAAACAAATACACTTTACGAAAACTTATAATATTCGTGATGTCTTAATCAAGTCTACATAAATCTTTAACTTAAAACTTTAAGCTTTCCCTATACGAAGGTTTGGTGAAGAAAACAATATACAAAATTAGGGTGTATCCGTATTTTATGTTAATTTGACTAATATGTAAACATTTTGGTAGATTCCTACTTAATTAGTAATAGGTAAATGCCACGCCCCCTTGGCAGTAAACTAAATGACGCTGATGACGCGACAATGACGCTTATTGAGTTCCTACGCACACGTGGTTTTCATTAGACATTACTTTGTGGGAGTTTTTGCGATATTTTTCTGTCGATGAAATGTACAGAAATATTACAAAAGAAAATACCAGGTAAATTGGTACTTTATGGTCATCTACAGTCATAATTAAATAAACCTGTTCATCTAACATTTAACAATTGTGATATAATCCGATTTTAAAAGTTAATTAACCGCAAAAACTATAATTAAATACCAGTTCAGAACGGAATTAGTTAATGATAATCATGATGACATGAACTGAATGCTACTCCAAACTTGGGAATTCCTTTGTGGATGACTTTAGAATTTTAATAAGTAGATAGCTATGGTATTATACAATCTTATGTATGTTGGTACCGACTTTCTATTCCTTTTGTTTAGTTTACGCAATGTCATATTTTTGCTGTCAACTTTTAATAACCAGAAATAAATGATTAATAGAAGATTTAAAATGTTTTGATCCAAACCTTACTATATTTGAAAGAAAATAAAACGAGAAAACAGAAAATCACGGTGATGTCTACTGTTTAGGTACTGAATTTTATTTTCCTTCCTTAAAGTCATGAAGGTAGGTCATAACTACGTAAAATTGGTCACAACAACTGCACAGTAGCTGTAGACACATAATTATCTTAAGAAGATAAGTATCTATAGGTACAAAAAATGGTTGGTACAAAAGTAACGAAATTTTATTTTTTTGCTTTAGACTACTTTAAAATTAAAATGATCCCCTTATATTTTGGTTCTGAACAGATCCATTGAATAAATAACGATGCCACAAACATCCTTTCCAGAATAAGCGAGATATAAAAACATGTCTCCTATAAATAACAAGTTGCATTATGTGATATCGTCAGTTATCAGATCAGCTGGTCCAGTAGTCCAGTATCACTTCTGGGTCAGTTAACAATCGGCCTAATGTTTGTATGTCAATGAACGGCAAACAAAAAACAACAGTTACCTACTTGTACAAGCCGCGTACGCTTTGCTTCGATTTTTAATCGCTGATCTATTTTGGTACGTCAGGAAAAAAATCACTAAACTAGACGCTGTGACAACCCTTCTACTGAACGACTAGTTAAGTAGACTATGTTAATATCTTATGCACGGAGGAAAACGATAACTTGCTAGTTGCTAGGATAGAAAGACTTCATTATTATGCAGTTCTTGTAAATTGGAAAAACCATGTTCGAACCGCAAAGCGATGTGAAAGGAGTTTATGTCTATAATAACTTGTTCAATTTGCAGGTCCTTCAACATGGACGGAGAAGTTCCCAGAAGCGCGCGGCGCCCGGCAGAGTCCAGTAGACATCGACACGTCGAGGATAAGCAGTGGAGGGAGCGCGCCAGCCCTCAAGTTCAAATACTCCGTCAACCATCCCCGATCTGTTGTGAACCCTGGCTACTGCTGGCGAGTAGACGAGAATGGATATGAGTCAGGTATGTTTAATGCCTAGCACATAAATTCACCTACTCGGTTTTTGAGACATATATTTTGATTCGTCTTTAAAACACTATTAGCTGCCAAGTTTCCTTATTCGGAATTCGAAGCCGGCTTCAAAAATTTATGTTTTATGCAAAAAATCTAAATGGTCCAGCTTTGATCGTATCTTCTAAGAGCACAAAACTGTAGGTTAAGCAATTGGATTACAGTCTACTCTGGTTTTATGACAACTAACACTACACCGCAAATAATGCCAATATACTTCTCGTAGTATTATTGCCTTTTGTTTTTGTAGCTGATTGTATTACAGAGCAACATATACATTTTATTACAAACATATTATTTATTCAAAAATCTAAATATTCCTATAAATAACGCGAGCCATTCATGCAGGAAGCACTAATAGTTTTGCTGATGTAAATTGTAATACAAAACAACTCGACAAAAACTGCTTTGCAAGGTTATCACTTCAAAATGGTTTATTGCTTTTTTGAACATTTTAATGATACATAATTATCATGTGTCCTATGGTCATACGACTGGAGTACTTTAATATGACCTATCAACATGACTTGTATTCGACAATGCTTATACTGCAATAACTCCAATGGATTAAATGATGAACGTGTAAAAGGAAGTTGCAAGTCCTCGTGTAAAGTGACGGCCAATTTGCATTTCCATCGACACGATGAGCGACGCGGCGGCGCGGTGTACCCCTCGCGGTGACTCACTGTATCATTCGTTCCTGTCCCACGTAATTTCGGGAACACCTATTTGCATGTGCACATTAAGTGTACTGAAAATGAAAGGGTTCCTACCCTACCTCATTGGGGGATTTTGCACACTTTGAATGACGTCAGTTCTAACTACTTCTAACCCTTTTTTAATCCCCCAACTTCATTAATACATATATGAACGTGCATGATCCGATTCAATTTATTATAACTCTACGGCTGCTTGCACAACAAATTCATTTTATAACTTTCAACGTCATAAATGCAATTTATTGCTTTTCGTATGCACTTAAGTGAACAAACTCTCAAAATATAATAAACCGGTTTTTTGCAGAATTGCGAGGTGGTCCTCTTGGCCATGACGTGTATAAACTACAGCAGTGGCATTGCCACTGGGGCGCAGTCAATGGTGAAGGCTCAGAGCACACCGTGGACGGTCGCTCCTTCTCCGGTGAGCTACACCTGGTGCACTGGAACACTACAAAGTACAACAGCTTCCAAGAAGCTGCCGGACAGCCTGATGGACTTGCAGTTCTAGGCGTACTATTAATGGTGAGTCATTTACATAAGTATTACGAAGGTAGTGTCGCTTTATCATAAAAAAAATTAGCAAAGTTTATGAATGTGCTAATTGGTCGTAAACACATAAACCTCATTATTTACCTGTTAACCGCGACTAATCAGGAGAAGTTGTATTCACTGAGCTAACCCTCTGTAATACTACATGTCTTATGTTATGTTTCATCGACATATTCTTAGTACACAAACATAAAGTAAATAAGAAGCCTACATTGTACATAGTACTGAGTCAGTGAAGCGGTTGTTTACCTGAATGCTCTTTACAAGTTCACACAATCAGCATAATGTATTCAATAAAATTGTATTATGCAATAGACGATATAATGAATAGGAGAAAATATACGTGTCTAGGTCAGACTGTATAGAACTATAGACGCTCAATTAAAAAGAGACTACAGTCGTCTGATATAAGTTTATTCTTTATTGTACCTCTAGTTTGGCAATGGATGATGAGATTATTCATTATGTGATTGTAAACGATAATCTTGCTAAAAATTCATCAAGCTATTGAATTTAACCCTCAATAGTAATTTGTTTACATGTCCATGTATTTCATGCATGTACTATTATAGTAGGTATGTATACTTACATAGGATTTTTCATGAATGTTTATCATAACGTATCTAGTAAGTATTTCTTTTCCATTACTATAACCAGTAGCGTTCAATATAAAATATTAGATTAAAATCACAAAGTGAATTGATTTCATACATGGCTACCTTTTATAAGTGAGAGATGAGTGCGATAACGAGCTCTTTCACACTACAGAGTAACTTTCTCTCGTCAAATGCGAACAACGGCGCAACTACAACTTTGACAATATAATAAGAATAAGATAATTTAAGCATTTCTTTTAACACAATTTCACGACGGGATCTTTCTCTACTGTCTTTATATAAAACACTTTCAGAGCCAGCGGCTTCGGCTGTGCAGATTTTAATAGATTTCGATAGTACCTAAAGTAATATCGGTATGATAATTTCTTCCTAACTTCCTGAAAAGTACTTCATTGTAATGGTCAATTAAATGTAAGCAATCGTATCTTTTCTCTTTTATAGAGAAGAGAGTAAACATGTAAACTACCCACGATTACTTTTTGGTTCTTAGCTGTCGCATTAGGGTACATGATGCCCTGTAATGATAGTTTAAGTGTTCTTAAATATAAATAAATATAAATAAATATAAACCACGTTGAACCGAAAATCCTGTTTTGATCTCATTAAAATTCGTTCAGCCGTTTCGGAGCTACAAATAGGCACACAAACATCACTTTCGTACACACCTATTATTACCTACTACTGGAAACATGAATAATTATGCAAAAACAAGATCCGATTTATATGTATCTATGACTCAAACCAACTACAATAATTAGTTCTCACATTATTTTGGAACTATTTACAATTTTAGTATTTTACGGCGTTCAGCTAGTACCTACCTATGTAAATATTGTAAATATTTGAATACGTTTTATATTTTATGCAACACCCTTAATGCGGATTCAGATTTGCGAGCGTCACTTTGTCTAGTAGCTATATGCGGGATTTTTATGTGTATTTTATTCCTATGACAAAACCATTATTTTGTACCTAATTGAATTCTCATGTTTTTGCTAGTGCAGTCTGGCTGTTAGAAGTGTTTCAAAATACGTACTTAGTACATGAAGCTAAAGAGATTCTTCTAAGCCAATAATATATGTACTTATTGCACTTTTATGCGAAGAAGGCTATTATGTCACCGAAGCCTGACTACTAAATCCTGTTAACTGCATTATGTTCTTTATTGTATTGCATATACCGCATGTAGATACCTAACCTGAGCGTCTACTTATAGACATTAATAGCGTAATAAATTAAAGCTAGGGAGTTAAATGACTATGAAGATGTCATTAGAAAATTATAGCTACAGAAAATGTAACCTACGTAATATCAATCTTGCGATGTATAATTTTCCTGTTAAAATATGCCAGGTAATATCTAGCTTAGTCAGTTAGGTTGGTACTTCAGCCATTTTAATATAATCCTCGGTAACAGGTCGCAATCTGAATACAATAAGTCTCATTTAAATTTTACTTCATAAACACGTTATTCAACAATACCACTGTAAGTGTAGCGAATTATAGCAACAATAAGTCTAAAGTCCTTAGTTCTTGAATTGAATTTTCGTATGCAATGATAACATTGTTTAGTATTTTATTTACCTATATATTTATACATTTTTATTTGACTTTACAGGTCGGTTCAAAGCATGACGAACTGGACAAAGTGATTCGGTTGCTCCCGTTCATTACGCATAAGAACGACAAGGTGACCCTGTCTGACCCCCTGGACCCCGTGAAGCTGCTTCCGTCGCAGTACGCGTACTGGACATACCCCGGTTCCCTCACCACCCCACCCTGCACTGAATCCGTCACTTGGATCCTGTTCAAGCAGCCAGTACAAGTGTCCGCTGATCAAGTAAGTGTGACATCTGAAAAAAACATTTACAACGCACCCAAGATACTTAGTTTAATTATAGTGTTTGATAGTGATTCCTCGTCATGTTTGTAATAGTTGATAATGCTCAAGTAGACAGATAGATCATATCTATTTACCTAGCATGTGACGACAAAACTTAACTATTTCAAGATGAAAATACTTCCCTACGATCATTGTCTATTTTGCGCTATGACAAATTGATGAGATTCTTATTTGAACTTGGATGAAGTTATTAGTCATCTCAAGAGGAAAGTTAATTTCAAAATAGTTGTTGACTTGAAATGTTCTTCGCCGCTACTTTGAATTTATTATCGACCTGACTCTAGTAGCTAGTTTTAAAAAGTCGTTATCAAATTACAAATGTATGTAAGTAGGTAAGTACTTGAACGTATGATGCAACAGAACATACAGCTACTACCTAAACGATATGTCGGTAGTTACCGGTTTTCGATATACCTCTACAAAACGGTCAAGTATCTACGGACCAAATAATAGCAGACGTCCGCGCATGACCTACTTTAGCATCTACTTTCCAAATAATCATGTGGAATATGTTTCTAAATGCATATTGCAGTAACGCCTGATTGCTTGCTAGAAAGAATTTACAAACGTTCGACGCGGACTCTAATTACAGTTTTAAATTAACTTCCTCTTGTGCTACTTCGTACCAAAAAAGTTAACTGTAAAAACCATTGTAAATTAATGGCAAAACTGATTGGATTTCAGTTGGCATCGATGCGGAAACTGAAGTGCGGGGAGGCGTCGTGCGGCACGGAGGCCATGGAGGTCCTGCACAACTACAGACCCACGCTGCCGCTTGGCAACCGTGAGCTGCGCGACTATGGCTCGGGCAACTAACAGCGCCACCACCACACCACGCGGTATCACGATACAATCACACTCAGCGCTGCGACTGCGCAGCTGCTCCTGAAACTAGTGCCTCTATTCGCATTCCGGCGAGCTAATCTAACGGAAGACACGTGGGCTACGTAACTCTTATGAATGGTGCCTACGCAATTTAGTATGTTCCGTAGGTATAATACGAATCTCGTCATAGCTATGTATGTAGTACCTAGTTGTAGTTCTAAGACAAAAGTAATCTCAGACTCCAAATGAAATGTGCAAAGGCGCCTCTGAGTTCTTATATTTTAAAACAAAGACGGAATAAACAACATGTTACAAATTTAGAGATTCGTTGCGTGGTTCTTCCTATTTGGATATCAAACATTCAAACACATTCGCATTTATCACGTTAATCAAGGTAACCATATCTAGTACATATTAGTTCGATATGACTGTGGGAGTTGAGATGTGTGTGTATAAGTTTATATAACTGTAGCTTACCTATGCATGTAGACACGACTAGCTATCAAGTGCCTCTACACTACACACTAAAATCAAATGTTATTTATATTGAAATTTATATTAAATGAAATTAATAAATAACATTTATAATTACTATTTAAGATCACATACTTACATAATAAATTAAGAAAATTTAAAATGTAGGTACTAATTATTGATATTTTTTTAAGAAAATGTAAATGAAATTCATGAAGGCATAGGTACCTATAGGTACTGACGTAATTAGAATTTCATTAACTCTTACGTATCTGTGTATGTACATATTAAGTTTAACGTTTTTTAACATACAAAATAGATATTGATGAAATTAAATGGATCAAATGAAACATGGAAGTGTCCACAGCACTGTAGCTTCAGCCGCCTCAGCGAGATAGCATTATATTCGATGTTGTGTCGAGGTTTCCTTCAGTTTGCTAGTTCTTTTGAACATGTGGCGCATTACAATCTTAATACAATAAGCATACATATGCTACAGCAGGCATGAACATCGAAAATATTGCATTTATCTCCAAGACTAAAACGAGAGTTGACATGAAAATCTTCCATGCATATGTCTCGAACAATTAAAGTTATCGTATTTATATAAGATCTACTCGATCTCCTTTTATTTTATTCACTCCAAGCACATAAGATCTGTAGTTACATTTCATCCAGACAAATAATAATTGCAATTTTATGTTAGGTCACTGATCTCTTTCTTTTAACTGAGTTAAAAAGTAATGACGGGCTCGTCACTAGTTAAAGTCGACTGTGGTCAAACAGTGTCTTGACTGAACAACTTACATAATACGTAAATAAGTTAAGTATTGTATGTACCTTAAAACAAGAGTGCCTCAAATGTATAAACGTCATAGTTATGTTAACTGGGACGTCATACGATAAATTTTAATGTATTTATGTTATTAATGATAAGGTGTCGATGAAGCTTAAAAGCAATGTACACAATAAACATAATATTTAGTAATGTTTTGTTTTATTCTAAGACGTTATTTATAATCCTTTTTATGGGATAAGCCGGTAAAGGAGCAGACGGATCACCTGATGGTAAGCAATCGGCGTCGCCTATGAACGCCTGGAATAGCAGAGGCGTACAAGTGTTACCGGCCTTTTGGGGATTAGGAATTTGAGGATTGTTGGGAATTCAAGGATTGGGTAGATCGGGGAAGGGTAATTTGGCCTCCGGTAACCTCACTTATACAACGAAACACAACGCAAGCGTTGATTTACGTCGGTTTTCTGTGATACCTTGGTATCACTCGGTCGAAAGCATGACTCTCCCATACCTACTTAAAAAACTACTCGATCCTAGACCCAATCCATAAATGGTAAGTGGTAAACTGGTGGCCAGCTAAACAAAACACACTTAGCTAATAACACTGATGGAACAAGATAGGAAATCAAAAAAAATATAAGCACACAATACATGTGTCCTAAAGTGAAGAAGCGAGCCAGGTCAATTTTCAGCAATTTATTAGGCATGGCTTGTGTCGCGGGAATAGAGAAGCACGCGACGATAAATCCACTTCAAAGTACTTAGGGTGTAAGCATTAGCATACGAACAGAGCACTTAATACTAGACACGTGCTGTATAGAATATCAGAGAAATCCGAAAAATTATAGATACTTAAATACCAACTAACTAGTATTAACTGCCTCAAAGATCGGGTGACAACAAGTGCGACTGCCGAGAAAAGGGTTCGAATCTTGTGGCTTGAGGAACAAAAGGCGTGATAGGTACTAATTACTTGTATATTATGATTTCAACTAATTTGAAATTTAATTCATTGTGCTTTTTATCCGACAATTGTTTTGAATTCTTGCTCGGACGGTTAGTCACATATGTACGACTAGTATTTAAAGTATCTGCTACTAGAAGCTATTAGGACCATCGATAGTCGTGTTTATCACCTTGACAATTTAGAAAACATTGTACGAGGTTTTTAATATTTATATATCCTATGATTATAGGTACATGCAGGTACGTAAACAGCACATCTGTGTCGTGAACGTGTCCTATCACTGAAACTATATATTGGCTTGCTTTGAAATAAATATATAACTGGCTACCTACCTGAAATTATAATAGAGTAATACTAATCATAATAAATCATTTATTTCGGGCATAGGAAACCATAGGAACAAATTACACATCAATCACACTATACCATAATAGATAGCAGGGTAGTTATACCTATGTAAAACTAGTCTCAACAACAACATACTTAACCTTTTTTTTTGAGGGGGAAAATCATCCAATGACTTCTCCCGCCCGGGTAAGGAGGGAGTGTCAGACTCTTACTGACTAAAAACCACCCCGTTCCTACACTTCGAGCCAGAGCCCCGGCAACCCGTTAAGTCTTTCGCGGCTCCGTAACATGTCTAACCTTAACTGCCTCATTAGCTGAGTGGTCGCAAGTGCGACAGCCGGGCAAGGGGTCTCGGGTTCGATGCCCGGGTCGGGGAAATTATTACCTACAGGGTTTTTTTTTAATCTCAGTAGTAGAGTAGCACGGAGTCTGAAAATATGCCCGGTATATAGCAATCGGCTCACTCCCTCACTTATAACATAAGTAGGGAAAAGTGGGTGTTACATTGTACAAGTGGCATTAAATGCCGGATAGGCAGTTTGGCTTGTAACCGGTCTGTACTGTACTGTTTAAACTTTGAAGGACTAATTTCTAATCACCAAAAATGCGATAGCGGCAACAGACTCATACCACAATACATACCTACAGATAACACACTACGTATAACGTAACTAAGCGATGAACTGGCACGACTCACGATAATCCAATTATTACGTAATTACTTATTTTTGTATACATGTCTACATTTTTATATTTCCTCTACATGATAGTCCTAGAACAAGGTGCCGACTTGAATAAAAAAGGTACCTTTAAAATAGTAACTGAATGATGACCCTAGAACCATGAGCTCGAATCCATGATTAATAATAATAATCCAATATTTTCCATAAGGTAGGTATCTTAGGTATAATAAACACAAAGATGTTAATTCAATGCAATTTAATGAACGCTTGTATTCATAAAGCACCAAATACAATGTTTCTATTAAAATAAGCATTATTCAAGCAATAATGTGACTATGCAATTTGTTCCAATAATTTTGCTTATGAAATATAATATACGACATAGCATCATGAGGGTAGTTCGGTTTGTACATAGATATCTTATATCTTATAATAAATGGCTTTGAAAATGCTATCCAGGATCTATTTTATGTCTATTTATGTTTTGGTCTAGATATAGTACCTATAAAACTTACAAAATTTCACTATAAATTTATAAAAATCTCGATGTAGACTTACATATACATACAAAGTCATGTACATTGTATATCCTAAGAATCACGATAATGAGTAGGTCAATTCTAAGACTAATTACAAAAAATAATATATAAAAATAACTTTTTAATTACACATTTCAATCTCTTCATTGAAAAATGTAATAATTATTAAATCTGTTCAATATTCAATATTTCCAGCTAAACAACATAGAAATAAACTATACAACTGGCAAGTTATTAAATAATTTATTATAATAAATAGGTGGGATTCCTTTCCAGCAACTGGACACACTAAAATTTAATCAGATCGTCACTGCCATCATCAGGAGCTGTGCTGGCAATATTGTTAGTAATCTCAATGGTAGGGTTTGGAATATCCAAATTTTTTGGTGACACTTTTCTTCTAGGCGGAATTGGTGCTTCATCTAGAATACCTGTTATACCTAAATTTCTACTTTGTTCAGCAAAAACCTTAACATCTTGATTCATTTCAACACGTCGACTGCTTGGCGATAGCTTCGTTCTGACGGGCGGACTCGGAGCAGCTCTAGAGTAGAGTGGTCGATTGTCGAATATAGTTTTATCAATCGGATTCGCACTACCAGGTAAAAGCGCCGATGTTTTACTTCTCTCTAGAGAATACACTTCATTGGAATGCTCTCGTCTCTCAATTACCTTTTTGTGGTCGTCAGTATAAAATGTAGATTTTTGAGAGTATTCTGCATGGAAATGTTTATGAGCCTGAACATCTGATTTGCTTCTTTCGAGTGTAAACGCGCCATTTGTGTGAAGATGGCAACTGAATGAACTGGTATTAACAGTGCAAGCTGGAGCTGTTGAGAATGGTACAGATGGGGCCCACAAACATGCTCCCTCATTCCTTGGCACCAGGAGCAAAGGATCCTAGAAAAGAAAATTAGAATGTGTTTAAAATTTAAAGTGGTCTAGAACAATCCGTTTCAGATTGGCTTAGCAACAAAAAATCAATAACAATTTATTTAAATAAAATACCTTTACAGTCACAAGATTAACAAACAAAGACTTCTTTATATCTTATCAGCATTAAAGAATGGCCAAACAAATACTTTAGATAAGACAATTTGGGACCTCAATCTATTTACTGTTAAGATGTTCAAGTAAAGATATAATATAATTAAATAATTTTTTTTTTCATTGTTAATATTATATTATAATAACAATGATCATACCTTTCCAGTGATTGCAAATATCTTGGACTGCAGTGCATGAAGTCTGTTTCGTAGATATTCATATGAGCTCTGCCTTAGTTTCATAACCCACTGAACCACATTATCTTCAGCTCGCGCTGCAAATACATGTCGTTTTTCGGGCTCATCTCTGAAACATTACTACATTTGTTATTACATATTTATCTACTTTTTGATAGTAGGTACTAGTGTTTGTGGCTAGTACTCTTGACAAAGCCCAGTACAATTCCAGACTGCATATATATGTATTAACCCATTACATTCAGATACAACATGTAATTAAATAGTTAATGAGTAGTAGGTGAATATTAAATTTGAAACATACCTGAGGTCTAGTTATGTAAAAACTGAATCAGATATGTTACAGTGATTATTTTACTAATGAGGTACAAAAAGCACTACATTCTGTCCAATAAAATTTTTCCTTGTGTAAATAAATATTGTTTAAATCCTTGAAAAAGCATATTGCAATTAATAAAAAAAACTTACATAAAAGAAATAGAAAATGAAAATGGTATGCTCTGCCCATGTTCCATTTGTATGGAAGAATTCTCTAACACAAACATCCCAGCAGGACATTTTGTATCAAACTTTCCCATTTCACTGATTTTGAAATAAAATAAATAATTGTTAATCAGCCGAAACCATCTCTCTTTGAATACTGGAAGAAATAAAACAACATTGAAATACATCAAAGAAGATACATTATGACACCAATTATAAAATTACTTAATCACAACTATTATAATTCTATTATGATTGCCAAGACAACTTTTAAATCTGACCCAGCTGATTAATCAGTTCTTATTTTGTTTGGTGGAACAATGCTACCAGTCATTGTCAACACAATGGATGAGCAAGACCAAGAGTGTTACTGAATATATATATATAAAAGATAATAATAGTATATTTAGTATTTACATTTTGCTGAAAAGGACTTTATGACTCATTGCAAAACCGAGGAAAACATCAACCAAACGGATTATAAATAGTTTTTACAATCATTTTTCCTGTCTGCTCACCTGTCTGATTACGATAACTGCCATTGGAAATCTTTTTATAGTTTAATCTTCCTTCTATCACACAAGGTTGATCGCTCAATTGAGCAAGTTCACGAATATTGCATTTCATTTGTACATAGAGTGTTAAGATCTTCTAAGAATCATTAACAAATTCGCAGTTACGGCTCACCAATTTCAACATGAACCACTATCAAAACGTTGTCACCATATCATCGAACAATTAGACTGCCTTTAATCATAAAGATGAACACTAATTTTGATTCCAATAAGGAAACGTGTGTACAAAACTTGGCAAATTGCCTCTTTCCGTGCTCTGCTTCAATGAAATTACGAAAATGACAGGATAGCTGTCTACTGTGCTAATTGACGTTTGACAGTTAGGAATAAGTTTGGGATCTAGTATTTTAGGCAGTAGCAATGTAAAAGATAAAGACTGCGTACATTTGTTTATTTACAAATTTTAATAACATAAGCTTAAATAAAATAAATACTATGGTATTCACACATTTCACACATCACTAAAGGGGTGTTTCTCCGTAAACTTTAACTTTATTTAACAAATCATTGTCCTCCCACTTACAATAAGCATCAAGGTAACTTATTGGTAATAAATGGTTATTCGTTCTTTCTTTTCTTCTTAGAAATTGAAGAAGAAGAAGAAATTGAACGGTATCACGGCTCAATTTCTTGAACCAAAGCGTTCTAATCAGTTAACTTTGGGTTTAGGACACTTTTTTTAATTTTTTGCGATTACCCACTTATAACTTTAACCTCCATAAAATGTGCCTCTTATTTTTTATCGTTGCCACATTGTTATAAGTAGATTTATTTAAATCGATTATCCTGTTAATAATTGGATACTTCTGTAGGATTTTAGCGTGGATGTAGTAATAAAAGAAATATTTACACAGAATACTTTAGAGTTATTTATTTCGTACGACCGTTTACATGAAAGATTTAAAGAGAGAGAGAGGGAGAGAGCGACACCAATGACAGAAATACGAACTAAAATGGTTGCGTTCCAAAACTGCATAATTCTAACTTCCTTAATCAAAAATAAATTATTTCGACTGTTCAATACAATAAAATATTAAAAAATAATCACCTTCATTTATTGATTTTATGACCAACTTAGTATTAGTATTTTTCAGCAAATTTTTAGAAATAATTACGCTGTTTGACGCTAAAAAACGTATTGTCACAAATTAACAATCTCGTACAAAATTCATACAAAACGGTAATTATGTTTTGAACAACTTCACAGAAATTCAGCTTGTTGGGACTTTATGTAACTTCACTCTCATTTTTTGGTCTAAATGGTAGTAAATTCGAAGTAATCATAATCACCCATGCAATCAATCTTTGCCAACGCAGTGGCAGTTTATTGATGCCCTTCATAAAGAAATCAGCTGGTGGACGGGAGGCAACAAATTCTTCAAAGGCATTCTGTACCTACTGCTGGGTATTGAATTTTTTTCCCGCCAAGATGTTATCCAAATTCTGGAAAAAGTAGGCGCAAGGTCTAGTGATGACGATAGCGGATGACGAATAGCTTCCAACCGCATTTCTTGCAATTTAGAGACCGTCTGCTGTGCGATATAAGGTAGCGCGTTGTCGTGCATGCAGGAGCAGCGGAGACGAGCGATTGACCAATGCTGGTTAGAGATGTGCCAGCTTCTATATCATTGTATTGAGTTCTTCACAGTACACATTTGCAGTAATGCTCGCCCAGTAAGGTAAGAAGCTGTGATGAATCACGCGGGCGCTAGACCATCAAACAGGGACCTACTCACGGTAAACTTCGTGCTGCCTCAAAATTTTTTTCTCACCTATTAAACCTTCTCTGGACATCTACAAATAATTTAAGACCAACATTAGACACATTTGCAAATCTGTATTTTTTAAGTACTTAAACCCACTAAATACAATACCATCACGCCATCATCTTCTGAATATATTTCAAGTAACCTTTTGAAAACCCGTCAAAACAATAGTTAGTAGATATTCATTAATAAGTAGGGAGTAATTGGGCCTCCGGTACCTCCCCGGTACCGGACCGGACCGGGACCGGTACCCGTACCTCTGCTCGGTAATCGCGCTTACCACCGAAGTAGTCAAACCTGATTTAGTAGGTACTTTAGTAATAAGTTGTTAACATGAGACATAAATAACAAAACACATTATAATTATTCGTTTATTTTTAACTTTTAGTACAAAATAAAACTAGTACACAGGGATACATCTCAAACCTAGCATTTGCATGTTGAATAGTCCGAGGCTTACGACGATAAGTCTTCTCATTTGTACTATTTTAGACACTATAACGTCACACAGATTAGCTCATTATTTCCCCATCAAAAAATAAAATTAATCATAACTGAATAATGTAATCACTCTTCGAGTTAATCCGACCTATTACACTAAATTACTATTGGTACCTACGTCAGATTAGATTTTAAGCTTACTTATCAATATACAAATACATAATTTTGAGGTTTGGAGCGGCATTGATGAGTTTTCAGGCACAATCAAACCAGTGCACCCCAATGTTTAAAATACATGAAACGACACTACGTATTCGTCACTTTTATTAACCATAAGTATCATATAATGTAATCCTGGTTTAGAATTTAGATATTTACGTTTCAGAGTCGTATATGTATTAGAAACATGTCTGAAATTTCGCATTTACAGAATGTAATATTCATCGATCTCAAGTGATTAAAACTGCTGCAGTAATTATTACCTATTACAATCGTACAATTCTCGTGTTCTTTTTTTCTTCAAAATCTTACCTAATAAAAAACATTACACTGTGTACAGTAAGTAAACATACTGTACAAAAATAACTTAAAAAAATAGAACCGACTTCATTGACGTCTCTCTTAGTGGCCGTAGCCGTAATATTAAATAATAAAACTAATATGTTTGATAATCCCAAAGGAACCAGTTGTTCCAAAATTCTAGATTCATGTGTTTTTAGAGTTAATGTATTAGTGAGCCCTGAATTATTGTGGATACATTCTTATAATTTAAATCTGCTTACGTCAGTGCACATTATTTAACCAACAAGTCTTATGATAAATCGTTACAAATACGATCTAGCTACCTATTAATTATTCTGAAACGAATATAATTTCTAAGCTTTCCGATATTAATACGTTATGCGCGTCCTGACTTCTATTCTATTTTAAAATATAAGGCTGCATTGCTCTTTCGGTATAACTATTATAACAGATATGACTGAAGTTCACCAAACTTCCAATTTAGACCCTGTATTTAAGGTATTTACAATATATCGCAAGAATGAAATGATAACCAATCAATTGCATGATTAGAACTTTGTTTAATACACGGATTAATTCTAATCATTAGCTCATTCTTTGTCGACAAAATTATAAGTTTTCAAACATAAGATTGGTCTTTCATCATCTGTTACAATAGCTGCGCCGGCCGAGCTAATTAGGAAACAAGTCGGTTCTTATACGCTTAATACACGATCACATTTATACAGTTTCGAATTACTTACACAAAAAATATTTTGTAAATTGCTTTATCGACTGAAAGTATAAAACCGTATTCACTATTTTCGAATATCAACAATGACTTCAGAAACCCCATTAAATAACAAATTGCTTATTTTTGTTAATCTTATTCCTAAGAGGCGGATAATCGTCATGAGCGAAAAAAAGTTTATTCCTAAGTTACTCGTGATTCATCACCAAAACCGCTGTTTGTAAAGTAACTTCAAGATAAACCCCCAAAGGAACGCAGATATGTGTTGGAATACTAAGGATACAGCCCCAAAGAAAAGATACATGGACAATGAAGCAGGGTCTCTCAAGGTATGTTTAGGCACTGATGTGGCCCAGTGCCATAATAGGAACTATTGCTAGCCGCCTCCTTCTTCCTACAGTTACGAATCACTCCTTACGATACATTTAGTAATGTAACATAGAAAATTCCAATTGACTGGTCAATAGTAGAGCAGTGAATGTGACAAATCAGTTATCGGTTCTAATCACCATATACTCGATACAGCACAAAACAGATTGAAATCAGCAAAATACTACTAATGTACATATTTAGTATGGATTATTGGGGGCATTTACAATATTGATACATTTAGGCACGTCGCCAGAAACTCTTTGGTCCTATGATTACAGCTACAATGTGTATAAAGAAATACAACTAGGTACATTATTATGTGAATATATTTAGTCGAAGTAAACATGAAAGCACATGTCCAATTGATTTGTATGTACAACCGAAGGTATTTATTGCGATGCAGACAAGTTTAGCTCTGTTTATAAATTAATAAATATTAAAATGTTCAAAATCATACTAATATCGAATTTAAATTCTCGTCAAGTTGAGTATTACAGTTTACAATCATTGATTAATGTGTTGTAAATTTATGATTCCGATTCTACAATTACTTAAAAGAAAACGAAAAACGTTTTGATAAACATGTTGATCCTTCTATTATTTCCACCACAGAACCTTCAGAAATTAGTTATAAAAATACAAACGTTTGCGTTTCGAATTTTGCAGTATAGAAGCAAAATTGCGAAGTATCATCAACAGTCAGAAATCTATAACAACATTGGAATAAATCTAAAATGGTTTACTGCATCTTAAGTACCAATTTACAAAAAATGTTTATATAGGGACACGAACAATATGTGCACGTATACTCCCTTACTGCTATTACGGAGAAGCGCACATATACACTTTACTGCAACTGTCATACATTTGACTTGGAAATGGGGCATAATATTATCTAAAATAATCCCGTATAAAAATAGCGTGTCAATTTACACTATGCAATATCTACTGTTTATCTGCACCATGATGTTTCCTCAAGGGAAACTCTAACATAAGTTATGTCGGATTTTAATATTATTTAAGCTTTTTAGTACACTATACAGTTTATTTACTGACTTCATAACTCGATTCTTTACAATCTAACCATCTACCTAATGTGGTCATCTTCAAAACAACACTGTCTCTAAATATACAAATTAGTTAAGTTATTGTAGTCATATTGAAAAGACAACAATAATGGTGCTTAGTGTATCACAGGACGATTGACGACCTCATTGCTTCGAATATGACATTATGAGATACCTCGATACGTTTTACAATGACAGTAATTGCGCTATAATTTACTAAAGAGTTCCTAATGCGATACTTTTCCGATTCGATACGTAAGAAAATTCATAATGATCTATTCTATACAAACTCGACATAAGTAAGTACACTAAAATTTAAGATTTCCCAAAGACATGATTTACATTATTCAGACAAGAGCTTCCGTAACATCGACAAACAAAACACATAAAACAACAAACATTCACCAAACGACCGGCGCAAGAATGATCCGCTGCAAATTCACCGAATCATGTATTTCAAACTCTAAGACCTAAATGAACACATGAAATACAATCCGCCACGGCGCAAACGTCTCGACGTCACCGAACAAAACGGCGACATAAAACTACCATTAAATAATTACACATCTTAAACGTAAAATAAACTCAATAATATACATAATTACATTATATATTCGAAAAAAATAACAAAAAATCGACAGTCAACATCCGAGGGGGAGTCGAGCGGGGCGGGAGTGACCCTATTTACATAGAATACAATCTAACGAGCGTCCTCGCGTCCTCGCGTCCCTGTCGGCAGTGCTAGTTACATAATTGCGCTAGTGCGGGCCGCGGGCGCTAGGGCTTGCGGCGTCACATGGGCGGGCGCTCCCAGTCCAGCGCTGGCGCCGCGCCGCCCCACGCGCCCCAGCGCTCGCGTCGGAAGAAGCGCTTCTTGAAGTGCGCCGCCGGCGCCGCCGCCGCCGCCGCGCCCGCCTCGCCGTGACCGATGCCCGAGTCGGGCGACGTGTTGCACGCCTCGTCCGAGCGCCGCCGCTTGTCCTCCATGGCCGTCGACGCGAACGATATGATCTGGTCGAACCGGAAAGCTATCCGGTCTTGCCACTTGCTCTCGTCCACCTCTTCGCCGCCTTCGCCCTCTGTAACGGAGCGGGTGGTGAGAGGGTGCGACGGCGCGGGCGCAGGCGGGGCGCAGGCGACGCTCGCGTTACCTGGCAGGCGCGCGCCGTCGGGCAGCTCGTCCACCAGCGGGGTGGACGTGTTGGAGTGCGGGTCGGGCTGCGGCGTGCGGCGCCGCGCCTCGTCCTCGGCGGCGGGCGCGGCCGCGGCGCCCTGGCTGGCGCCCGCACTACCGGGGCCCGTTGCCCCCGCCGGCGGGCCGGCGCCGGCAGCTCCTGGTCCGTTGCGCCCGCGCCAGTAATCAGACGCCAGCACGCGAGCTTGTAAGCAAGCTGCTAACCCTGCAAATTATAATAATGTTATTGATACGTAAACTAACAAGTCTACCGCCGAAGATGTATTTCTAAATAAATTAAAATCATTTATTTGCTCAGTATGTGTTCGTTTTATATAAATTCCTTAGATCTATCTAATCATCTATCGATATCTAACAATCTATCTCACCGTGATGATAAATAAACATAAATATCTGTATCATACGAATTGTTTATAATTACTGTTACAGAGTCAAAAATGTAATTAGGATATTAGCGAGTTACCTTCGAGCGGCTGATTGGTGGCGGCGGGCTCGTGGTATCGCGCGCTCATGTTGACGGCTGCGTTGATGATGCTCTGGTTGGAGATCTCCAGCGTGCGCTCGATCTCCCCGTTGACGAGGTCCCCGATGGTGCGCGCGCCGGGCGTGGCCAGCCGCTCCTGCGACAGGTGGCGGCGCAGCGCCAGCTTGGCCGGCGACACCTGCACCAGCACACAGCGTTACACGCGCTCACACGCCACCCGCGCCGTCCCCCGCCGCCCCGAGCCTCACCTGCGTGTAGTCGGGCGCCGCCTCGAGCGCGCTCAGCCGCTCGTACGGGTAGCGCTCGCGCCGAAGCTCGCGCCCTGCGCGCGCCAGCCCGCCGCCGCGATACTGCGCCCCGTGCGACCCGTGGGACCCGTGCGAGCCGTGAGAGCCGTGAGAGCCGTGGGACCCGTGGGAGCCATGCGAGCCGTGGGACCCGTGGGTCCCGTGGGACCCGTGAGACCCGTGCGAGCTATGCGACCCGTGCGAGCCGTGCGTGCCTCCACCTCGCACGTAGCCGTTGGTATAGGCGTGGCTCTGCGAAGGCCGGGACGCTTTCCGTTGCTCCTGGTCTTCGTTCAGCACCGACGTTATTATACTTTTGAGCCTGTCTTCAAAATTTATCACTTTTGGCGATTCTTGCACCTTACCGACGACATTGAGAGGTTTCTGCGGCTTGACCGGTGACTGTCTGTGAGCGAGGTTGGGCGGTGGCTGTCCCGGCCGTTGAGGTTGCGTGCGGTGTATCGGTGCACCTGTCTTTGGATGTCTATGATGTTCGACGTGTCTCTCTGATTCTCTTGGATACCCGTTCACTGCCACATTTGGCTTCGAGATTTTACCAGCTTCGATCTGCCGCCCAGTTTCTAATATTTTCTGAGCAAGGATTTCTGGATTTTGTTCCTCAATTTTCCCAACATCTGGAACATCTGGCCACTCCTGAGAGCGCGATCTGTGCTCTCTGGACTTTCTGGGTTTTGAATTAACTGTATGAGGTTTTACAGTAGCAACTGGTACAGTTGGCGGTGCCACTTTTTGCTCGTTTGATCTTTCCATTTGGATAATTTCATTCTGCAGGTGTCCTACTTGTGCATGTAATCTTTTCCGATGCGCTAGTGTTGCAGATATTTCTTTTAGTATGCAGTCGTGGGCTATACTTTGCGTGATTTCGACGTCGGGAGGTATGTGACCCAACTGACGATACTTTTCCGTGATCTCAAATGTCCTTTGTTTAATTAGCACGGCCTGGTCATTTTCTATATTATTCACCTAAAACATAAAAAAGTTTTAGTAAAAGACATCTTATAATATAATGTTTTATTACATAATATTGTTACAATATGCACGTTAAAATAAAACTAATTCAATGGCATAATATCGTACACAGAAAATTAAAATGACATTCAATAAAGCAGCGAGCTAAAACCAAAAAATATATAACTTTTATAAAAACGTAAAGTATAACATTTATTTACGATAAAAACGGTAATGATATAATACATACAGTATTTCAAAAAAAAAAAAAAAAACAAGTTTAATAGTGATTATAATAATGAAAATGATGAGTACCGTTTTATCGACCGTAGTGATGTACGTACTCTTCGAAAATGAGTCTAAGCCGTTGCGAAACCGAGACCGTACTATCTATCAGGTGCATGACCGAGTGATAGTGAGCTATAAGAGCGAAAGTACCTAGGGACAGAAGCAGGAGTGGCGTCCGGTCACTATAATCTTAGACGTTACAACAAAAGCTGATTGTTTTCAATGCACGATACTATGACACAAATATAGCATTGGGGAACAGTACCTGTGCTTGTAATTTGCTAGCTTTGCTCTGCAGCTCTTTGTGTCTCCCCACAATTTCCTTGGCTTTGGCCAAGAGATCCACAGTGTTATTGGCGTGAATGCCCAGCTCACTCATGCGCGCCTTTAACAGAGCAACACTGTCGCTTATGAGCACGTTGATCTGTTTATCTAACTGAGACGCACGCGACTTCAGTTTCTGGTTCCTCTCCTGTATCGAATACTTGGCTTTAAGTTTTAAGTTTACACATATTTACTTTTTCATGGTCTTACAAACGACTTACAGCTTCCTCACTAATAATTGATATATGAAACTTTCACTTGTGCTGAAGCTTATTTTTCCTTTCAAAAGTACTTTTACAACTTAGATAAAAGTCAAAGCCCAAGTAGTGAGCAACTACATGGAAGAGTGAACCAACCAATATATCTCACAATCAATAAATGTATGTCCCTATTAAAAGATAAAAATATCAATACCAGCCAATTATAAATAAACAGATGGGATAAATAGAATAATGTCTCTATGTATCAGTGTTAGTTAGTTTACATTATTCAAATGAACATGAAAAGCTTTACTTTGTAAGTCTTGTTCATTTGTTTGTTTAATATGGTTCCAAAAAGATCTTATATAAAATAAGAATGTATATTAATCGGTATTGTAATTTTCATCTTTTAAAAGGAGATATTATTTTCGTTTGCTATCATCTGAAATAAAGTATAGATTAAAACAAATAAGTTAGATTGTAAGCCAGTAACTAGTGGTAATATTAATAAGAATCACAAATGGAATTTTCGATATTAAGCCGATGATGACGGGCCGAATGAATTGTGAGACATTTGATCGAAAGCAGGGTTGTTTGTAAGAACACCAAAAAGTGAAAGCAAAACATGCCTGCGAGTAGCAGCGGAGAGATAGAATACCTTTTCCTTTTCGATCTGTTGTCGTATCTCGTGCGCGTACTCGGGCGTGTTCATGCGCGCGATGAAGGCGAGGTACTGGTCGCGGAACATGTCCAGCAGCAGCTGCAGGCTGTAGGGCGCGGCCGGCGCGCGCGGGATGTCCAGCTCCGAGTGCACGCGCGACATGGGCTGCAGCGACACGCCCAGCGCAGACAGGCGCTGCTCCACGCAGCCCGGCGGCGGCGCCGTCACCTGCAACCGACACACTCAGGACACGCGCTCACACACTGGCGATACTCCTTGTACTGATGATCGTTTTCAAAACTTGAGAGCCAATCGACAAAAACAAAATAAAACAAATTAAAATAAGATCGGCGCCCTATTTACGTACGATACCTGTGACGAGGGCAAGTATACTCACGGCGCCGTTATGTAGCGTGGAGGCCAGCGTGGTGGAGTGTAGCAGGTCGAGGCCGGCGATGGCGGCGGGCGCGGCGCGACGTCGCTTGGCTCGCGCCGCCCGCCGCCGCGCGCCGCCCGCGCTCGCACTGCGCTTGCTGGCCGGCCGCCGACTGCGGTCTGCACGAACATACACATTCAACATGTTGGAACATAAACAATCAATATCATACTGACATTATAGCACTTGCCTTATAGAATATACTATGAATATGAGATTGTGTACGTAGTAGCACTGTCATAATACACTGAGACATAGGCAGTTATTGGGCTACCAAACATACAGAATATGAGCCTACTACATAGACACCATACGTAAATTGTAATCTTATACATGCGTAATTAAAAAAAGATACTGACTGGAATCGGACGAGGAGGCCCATGGTGCTCCCCACTCGCGCGGCGCGGGCTCGGGCCCGGGCGGCGCGTCGTCGGTGCCGCTGGACTCCTCGTCGCTGTCGTCACTGGAGCGCCGCACCACGCGCCGCTTGGCCACCGCTGCTCTCGCTCGAGTCCTGCCGTTCTCACCCCTGCCACAAAACAGACGCGAGGGTAGAGGATGCAGTTCCCCAGTGCATTGCAGGGTGGCAGTGAGAGTGGAGTGGTGGTACCTGGCGGGGCGCGCGCGCGCGACCTTGCGCCGTCGCTCGGGCAGCGAGGCGGTGCTGTGGTTGCTGTTCCCGTTGAGCAGGTCGGGCGTGGGCTGTCGCGTGGGCGGCGCGCTGAGATGTCGCTTGCCGCTAGTCTCGCCCTCGTCGCAACCGTTGTGCGTTCCCTGATGATTACAACACCACTCTACTTATTGCCTAAGTACTCCACACGTGTTTACATTCTTAGACAACACAAATATCTAGTATACTGAAATAAAGATAACCCATGACCTATATGACTCCGATATCGACTGAGAAGTTTCCCGGGTAGACTCGTCCATGTTTATAAAAGCAGATAGTCTAGTTATAAAATATTATAACTATCTATTAAAATGAAATTTTACATACTAAGTATCTACTTTAATCACTCATGCTTCTTTTATTCCGTTTGTTAATATCAAGTCTTCATAAACATATTATAAATAATTAATTACTAAATATTAAATATTGGTAAGCAATCAGAAGCTGAAGCAGCTAAACTTTGAAGTAGAATATGGAAGAATTTCATACGGGTCAGTCAAAATGAACACAGCACATTCATAGAACATGAACATAATTCGAACATAAGGGAGAAGCCCAAATTAATTCGGAATTCAGAACTGGATAAGAACAAAATTAAATAAGGATCAGAAACCATATACGGCAATATTCAAGCAATGTAGCTGATTAGAAAAGCAAATCTACCTTGCTATGTGGAACAGTAAAAAACCTGTACTTAGGATTCCGAAATCACTGTCCATAGTTTGGGATAACATTAATTAACATAAAAATATTAGTTTTCTTAAGACATTCTCACTGAAATCTGTAACTTGCCAAAATTAATTAATTCAACCACCAAGGAAGTTAACAGGGTCAACAGCTAGGTAACTTGATACAGCAATCTTCAACTTCAAAGAAGTGCTAATTTGAAACAAAGTTCATACTGAATGCCTGCAACATTTTTAGGTTTAAAATATTAAGTACTTACTTCATACTTAATAAGGGTCAATTTATTGAAGAATCAAAGATAACAAGTAGACATGAAACAGTTACTTGTATACTATGGAAGCCCAAATAGGAATAGCCTAATGAAAAAGTTTTTTCCTCTTTTCAATGTCCACTCTATCTTTCTCTACTGCATAGCTTAACATAGCACACATACACGAATTAACATAGCTGACACACATGACGATTGGTTGTATAAATAATTTATGTAGCCTCTCTATTGAGGTCTACTTCATTCTATATTGTTTAATTTATCATTACAAATTTCTTCAGTTTTGTACAATTTATACTTTGCAAATAAGTTATTTTCACAGTCAAATCATCATGGACATTAATGTTATCTTAGTTATCTTATAAAAGGTAAAGTGATTGGAACAGACCCTTTTGCTGACCTTGAGTTTCGGATTTTTCAGTCTTTGAAAATATCTCTCCAATTTGGTCCTATCTATAATGTGTAAATAGTAAGAGACTGGCTTCCCCGTCCACGAGACTGATCCTTTTAGTGGAGACATCTCGCTCACGTGCATGATGGTCCCGATGTCACTCAGGTTTCTGTCCGTTATCCTGAAGTTCAGAGGACAAAAACTCTTCGATGATACTATTTTAGCACCGTCTTTCAAATCAGCAAATCTTTCTTTTAACTGATGATCTACATGCGGGCCGAACGCGAAGTTATTCACAAAAACAATCGTAGCCGCATTTATTTTTTCTCTGTGTTCATCCAGAAGAAAATCACCCTTTATTAATTTGTATTCTCCAAACTTTTTGCCGTACCACCTCATCCACATTCTAAAGTGACCGTCCATACTCTGAAAAAAAAAAAAATAAAGATGACATGGGTATATTACATAATGCTTGGTTTATAAATTACAGACAAAAGGGTTTAAAATAGGATGTTATATAAAACATTTCTTTACCTCAGCATATTTGCTGGGAACTTCCGCCTTTTCGACTCCAAGGCAGACGCGGCAAGGTGTTGCAGCCGCCATTTGTAGGACCACCTGTCCCACGCCCGAGCCCAAGTCCACGAACACATCGTCGGATGTTATGTCTATTTGATCTATCATCTGACACACCAGCTCGTACGATGTTTCGCCGTATACCTGTCGATGTAAATTACTTCATTTATTGCCACATGCCTTCTACATAATTACCTGTAATGTCTATAAATAATAATTTATGTATCCTTTTATATCTCATATTCAACATACATTTTTTTTGAAATCAAATGAATGTAATGCCAAAATACAAGGAGTGTTTGACTATCTGTTTAAATAACTAACTAGATAATGTTTCAAGACTCCGCCGTCTCTCTTAGAAAATAATAGACTATAATACAGCCCTGTATAAAATTTAATAACAGTAGATATTATAATGACGATTCTGCTTACACACATTTGCGTTTTATTATACAATGTATTGTATTATATATTATCCTTATTATGTATTTGCATATCGTTATCATTGTGAATATGTTTTATTTTATTAACGTCATATACTAACTTCCTGCTTCCCACTATAATATAATGTAGTTTAATTTATCAATCAAATGTTTTACATTTCTTTATCTATGTGTGCATATTTATATTGCTGGATCTGTTAAATATCACAAATAAATAATAATTACCTAAGTAAGTGACTTACACTAAACTATCTTTAAAGAACTAGAAATGGGTCACACTTAAACAAGAGCTTAGCCGTATTACGCAAATTACGAAATTGTCATTTACCCTTCATAATATATTATGTAAGCACAAAGTTTGGTTCAAATATACGAAAGAAAGAGATTGCTAAATTCAAAATTGTCATCATGAACCCCTCTGTTATTATGATTACAGCATTGTTTTTGTTGTGTAATAGGGGTGCCGTGACGCTTACCGCTAGTAGTATATGTATTTTTATTTTAAATTCGTTAGTTACAAACTACTATAAATAGCGAATGCCTAAGTTGGCAACACGACATAATTGGCGTCGCTATAAACAATACAGATTGCGTAATAAATAACCGTTAGTACTGACCTCAGGTGAGAAGGGTTCATATTGGTTGAGTTTATCCGGGTCAGACACTGCTTGGTTGTATGTTTGCTGCAATATGTGTTTCAGCAAACCTCTTGACGGATACTTGTTCAACCGTTGAGCTGGTAACGACGTGCCTTTTTCCTGTAATTAAACAAATAATTTATTTACACATTGTCGATACTATACCATTCAGTTCGCATAATTATAGTTTTCGTTGTTTCAATAAAATTGTGGTAATCTATTATTCCGTATAATGGCGACGTGATGCTGCAGCTTACCAAAACCGATAGTATTATCCACTCTCACGTTAATATTATGTGCATGTTTACCTAATAGGTACCTATATACGATTGTGCGAAAACTACGAACATAAATACGAGCATTTTACGACTTAAAGCTAGCACAAATTATAAAATTAAAATGCTCTGGTATCGTTAGTTTATTCGCTGGTATATATGTTTTTACATAAATGATCACCATAATTAAAAATACGAGCATAATTTAGATTGGCGAAGTGTGGTTATTAATGTGCACCTTCGCCTTCCCTTTGGAAAATAAATGGCGCAATGTTTTCCTACTCCACAAACAAACTTCATTATTTAATTGTAAGCACACGGAACACCTTCGACATTCAATGCTGAATGTAAAGTACATTTGCAATGATAACGTAGCTGTATAATGAACATTAAGTACCAAGCTGTAAACTTATTACAATAGTAAGTTGGTTCCAAACCTTGACATTGCTATCATGGCAAAATGACCGATCGATACAAGCAAATGCGTCATTTGAGAGCAATGTCGATGGCCTTGAGTCCGATTCACGGTTCAAGGTTTAATAAATGTAGCAAGCAACATAAGAGTAGGTACCTGCCAATTTGAACTTAAAGCTTGAGGTCAATAACTTCTTGCCTTTTAAATAAGTTATGTGGTATTTACTGCACACAAAAAATCAATATCTATCTTGTGATATAAAGTTTGCTCACATTCCATAACTGCGGTCGTTGCTAAGTCATTTTTGTATCGTTTTGCAATCACCTAAATAGATACTGTTTTATTTACGATAAATGTACCATAACAGGTAACAACAACGAAGGAGTTACCGTATGTGGACATGACCTTGCTCGAATCTGTTATAATGTATTTATTTACATTATGTCTGATGCGTTCATTCATGAAAGATAAAGCCATGTATCCAAATAACCTTCCATTTGTTTAATATATTATTCAATATGAAATAACAGTTACATTTAAGCACGCATGTCCGTGTAGCAAGTAAATAGGAAGAAGGTACCAATGTATATAGATAGTGTCTGAAACGAAACGTACAACTGGACAGTGAGGTGTAGATATATAAAACATTGTCATGTCCTTTTATGTGTTACTTTGTACACAACATTTATGTGTACGCAACATTATCGGACAAGGGCCATTGTTACTTCCTTTGAAGTTTAATATCACTTTGTGTAAATAAAGTGCAAACGAAGTGGTGTGCGTACCCCACATAATTTGCTCCCGTTAAATTGAAGGAGGTAATGGGGTCAGGGGAGGCAGGCGTGCTCGGGAAATCAATACCAAGTCTAAATGTAAACAATCTTTTTCTTGTCCGTTTATAGAAGCTTGACGTAACTTCCGCCATTTATAAGTTGCTTTGAGGAAAAATATCTGTAGATCCTACCTGACTATTAGGTACCTACCATTCTCTTGTGTACTGTAGCAACACTGAATAGTCATGTAATGCCACCAAAAGTACCAAGGTACACAGGTAGATTTAAATAGGCGTCATTATACCGAAACAATAGATTGTATCTATGTATGATACGCATACTACACATATTTATGTACAGTCAATAAGCAGCAAGGAGCTATTGACAATAATACTTGTCATAACAACGTTGGTACATCAGTCAATCTACATACAATGTGTGGAAGGCATTGCATCTCAGCCTCTGGCCAGTGATGCAATCAGTTCTCACACACATGCCCGTCTGTTGCCCAAACAGTCCATATGGCGCTAAACCATTGCGTCATTCACTATCTACTTACTCGGTGAAAATTAGAAAGCGGCCCCACGTTAATTCAGCGCAGTGCATGCAATAACACAGCGTTTACTAATATGTATTATGTTAAAACAACGTTAGGCGAGACTTCGTTCACTTGACGATAACAACAAAAACAATAAAGATCCTTAAATGACGCTAGTGCTTGTGTTATCAGATTAATCTTAAATTATAGGAATTTAAATAATGACATTCTGTTATCGTACGTTTCAGGTATTTCTCGGAATAACATTTTTATCAATAAAAAACAAACATTTCATATTACGAAACTTAGAAACTTATCAAAAGTAACTAACACGTGTACTTATTTCGATTCAATAACGTTTGCATTTGTACAATTTTTATTTAATTACAATATACCTATCTAAATACTGTGAACCGTAAATAAAGACTATATGTATTTTCTTTTTTTTTATCCTGTTTGGTATTAAATTTGTATTTATTTTTGACATAACAATTTGGACAAAAAATATATTATTTTTCAATCAATTTAGTTTAATGAATATAATTGAATTGAAGAATATGAAATGAAGTTTATTGTAATGTCTAAGATTTGCATGGGCTTAGCTTATTTAATATTTCTACACCAGAAATGGTAGTATATGTGTTTCTATGTTTAATGTAAGATCTCAGTGTACCAAGTACTTAGAAATAAATATATCTTTATCTTATCTTTACTTACATACATACTAAATAGGTTCATCAGATAGTTAAAAGTGCAATCAGATTCGGACAGAATTAGAATGAAAGTTTTAGCTGTCATAAATATGACTGATATAATACATAATTCAAAATTTGATTTAAAATTGTTTTAAACTCATAGTCCGACTGAAGACGCTGGCGCAGCCAAAAAAAAAGGTCATTAACACTACGCGGGACATTCGCGTTCGTTCAATATTGCGGTCAACGCCCCCGCAAGTGGCCCGCACTGAGCCACTCACTATAACAATACGAATCGCAGTCCATAATTCTTACCGAATATTATGATCTATGTAAAATTAATTGCAATCCCTCCCTTACAATATCTGTCGCAACAAAAAAGCAATTCGTACTAAAGTGTAACTTTATGAAGATTTATAAAATATAGAATTATAAATAAATAGTCAACATACTTGTACCTAATTAAATGTGTACGGTCACATTAGGATAGATAGGCTATGTTGTATACCCACATTATTATACAGTTCTTAGATATTATTTATTCATAATACGTTGCAGCATCGTATTTCTTACTAATGAACTGCATTAATTCAATCTAACCTACACAGAAGGCCCACTTACACTGATATAGCTACACAATAAAAAAAACATTATAGGAGTCGCATTTAAACGCACATTATGACGGGCATATGCCTATGTTTAAAATGGCGATTAATGGCTTAAAAGTCATTATGCTTCTTTAACTAAAGTTATGCATGCGTTAAATATGAAACGTAAGTTCACCATAAAAATTCTTAGCAAACCTAATTCAGAGTAGACTAAAACGAAAAAGTAGAAGATATTAATAATCCGAAGATAAATATAAACGTGACCGAGGTCACTACACTGAACTTAAAGGTGTCTATGCACGCGACTAGAGTTCGTTCGTATTTAAATGACCTACTCAATATGTCAAGACAGTAAATAAACGTACTTAAATTTTTATTGCCGACTTTTGCAAAAACTACTTTTCCCTGAACAAGAATGCACCTTTTTTTAAACGGCGATTAAATAAAAAAAAATTAGACGGTCTTCATCGTGTACATATTTCTCTACGGTGTTAATAATCATCGTGTCTAAAACCCGATGGTGATAAATAACGTTATGTAGAGATGTAACCAGTACTATTTATGCGAGTCACGTTTAAAGAATAGACGTAACGTTTTAACTTCTCAATATGCTGGTCCTCTAACCAAGTAACACAAATGACATCACCTCTAATACAAAGGATAATTCTATTATTACGAAATGACCGTTGTAGACAAATACGTCGTTGTAAATTATTTATGTATACAAATCAATTTTATTTTGAATTTTATATAGGTATTTTGAATGTCGTCTTCCGCCTTATGTAAAACCAAGGCAAAAATTAAGGTTGTAAATTGGTAAATTCATGTATTCATGATTGATATTATCGTCATCACTTTAATTACAATAATTCCAATTAATTTTAAGTTTTCCTTCTAATTTTGTATTATACCATTAAAACAAGGCCCTTTATACATTTCATTAACTTAATACACCTGTATTTTACGTTACAAAATACAGTAACAATATTTATAACACAAAATCTATTTTATTATTTGGAAATGTATTATCCGTAGGCAGTTCTCCATGTCATAGTGAAAATGGTATGCAACGTGTATAAATAGAGTTAGCCTCGCGCGGCGTCTGCGGACATCGATCGTTGCGTCCTCGCCGCCATCTTGGCCCTCGTGTCTCCCTCCTGCAGCCCGCGCCCCACTCGCCTCTATTGCCCCTCACTGCCCCACATTCACCGCACCGTTTCGCACATGCTACACTACGCGGCATGTCCGCTGTTTCTAGCTAGCTGACTCAACATTTGGCGGTAGAGTTTGCAGCTCTACAAAAATAAACATCTTCAAGGAGATAGGTACATTGATCGATTTCCGTGTTTCCTTTTTAAATTATAATATTTCAGATCAATTTTAATCACTATTTATCATGACATGTGTTACGTATGCGGTATGCATGAATTTATTCATTTACATATTTAAAACCATAATTATATTACTGGAATAAATTTTTAACATGTTTTAAAGCAGTGGAGCAGCTTATACGCATCTCTATTTTTTATTAGTATCTGGCATCTGCATATATTTTAAACACACACTGTCTCTCTTTCTAATTTGAACTTTAGCACGGGGCAAAAGTCTATTGAACTATGACATTGTCGCTATGTAGGTAGGTTGTCTAGCTAGATTCTTAAAATTAATTTAACGTTTGAAGGTCGAGCAAACAGAGGACGCATCTTTGAAAGACGTAAGTACGAGTAATAGCTGAATAAAACTTTACATTTGTTTATCTAACTAATGTACCTATAGCCTAACTTTCTAACATAGTTTCGATGAATAAAACGAACTACCTAGCGCAACTAGATCAGAATTATTTCACCATAACAAAACAAATAACTGTTACAAAACTACATTTTTATTTATTCAAGTATAACATGACGCCTTTTATCTCGGAAGGGGTAGGCAGAGGTACACATTACGGCACTTAATGCCACTGTACATTTTAACACCCAATTTTCACTATTTATCCCATGTAATAGGAGGTGAGGCTGTTTTAATTCAAGCATGCTTCATTAATAGTAGAAATAGTGATTATTAGGTACTCCCCTCCCATTTAATGTAAAAAGTAACTACGTAGTAATGGTAATGTAGCTTACAGAAGTCAGAGCTCATTATAGTCTATACAAATAACTAAGGTGACATTGGTGATATTTCCGCAACTGAACATTATTTTCTGAATACAATGTTTCCGTCGTTGAACGTCAGCTTGTCAGGGCCACGGGCGAGAATAATGTTACATAATTTATTTTAATAAGAAAATATAGGGCGCCGCATTACCACACATACAAGTGATGTTTTAAGTATAATACCAACATTATTTTGCGCAATTTCGGCCGGTCTGCCTTAAGAATGTATCTTTATTCCTGTTACACAATTGTTTGTTAATACCTGCGGCAACAGAATATCAAAAATAAAAAAAAAACAGCTTTGAGGCCCATTCATATTTACCGAGGAGCGTAACAGACTTGTTTTTATTGAGCTGTATATTACCGTACATTGTTTACGATGCGTATTTAAAGCATAGAAACAGTCCATTCCTGTATAAAAAACGCTATTCCGAGAAACACACAGTGAGTGCAGCAGTCATAAAATAAATTGTCAGTTTATTTGTCACTATGGCACTGCCCATGCAATTTATTTTATTTATTTATTTATATCAGGCAACGAAGGCCCACATTAAAATACAATAATACTATAATATCTACTACAATTTCAACTTAAAATACTATAAATACATAATGTAAGTAATAATAGCATTGCATTGCAATGCCTTGCATGCAATAAAAATAAGTCGGCAAAAAAGTTACGTATTTTTGTGTTCTAATTATAAATTACAAGAATAAAGAACGTGTGTGTATCTAACTGTTGTTTTAAATGAGATTAAAAAGACCTTATTACTAAAGAAGCCTTCTGAATGGGAAGTTCAATGTCAAGGGAGCTATTTATTCGACACAGATTGTTTATTTTTATCTTCGTAGGTAACTTGTTCTCTACCTACCTGTTATCGCTCATTCGTAATTACGTAACCTACCTAGACAGATAGGTAGTAACAGTTATGTGTGATGCTAACTGCTGGGATTTATTTCAATCGTTTTTGTTCTATCAGAATATTACAGCTGGTTTACGAACTTAACCCGGCGGGAGTGTGGTGCGGAAAAATTACATAGAGTATGTGGTGGGGTGTAACATACCCCGCGGAACAAAGCGTCTTCTATCTAAATATTTCTCCAAAATAGTACAAAATTATTAGTAAGTATTATGAATGAGAATCCCTATAATAAAAAGTTAAACAAATAAATACATATTTTTAATACCTTTATTACTTTCTTAGTAGTTGAACAATTTGAGAACTTTTTGGTAACACAAATTTACTTGCGCTATTAAAATATTCATAAAATCAACCATAAAAATTAAAACATAATTAAAACTTCTAAAATAACAAAAAATAAGATCTTCTTTCAATTAAAATTAAAAAACACTTATTGAATCAAATGGAATATGTTAGTAAGAGGCCTCGCCGTCAGCACAATTGTTGCAAGAAAATATTGCATGTTTGATTGATTGAGTGATTTTCTGCAGCTTGCACAGACATGTTTCGTCTTCCGATCTTTTTTCCGAGGACAATCAGCACATCGAGTACATTTTCCTGAACTGTTTTCCACTGCTGGACGCAATGGTTCCCCCATCTGTGCAGAAATTCTGTGGCAAATGTTAGATGTAATATATTTCTGTGTTTGACGCAACTGCAGATGTTCTGTTCAACAAACTCAATCCCAAACTATGGAGGAATTTTGTTATTTATTCAAATTATTCTGATAAATTATATTAGCATTGATAACAGCCATGTGCAAAAGTCCAAGATCGTCTTTGGCCAACGCTTACTGTTGGGAAATACATTATAAGTAGCGCCCAGCTCGTCCACGACGTCTACTCCTGCATTTGTGGAGTTGTAGAAAGTAATCATTTTTGGATCAGTCCCAGTGGAGACAGACAAGTTCTTTTTGCAGCAAGGAGAATATTATCATACGAATCCCACTCGTTGCTGATCGCTTCAAAGTCATAACACACTACTTGCGAGTCCGATTCAAGCATAAACTCACTGCAATGATCAATTTCTTCGATAGAACCTGATTCATCTGAAGATTCGGCTAAAACTTCATCAATAATGCTTCTTATACGTCTTTAATCTGCCTCCAGTGCCATTTTTATTAAAAAACTATAAAAATTGAAAATATACATAAATATGAAAACAATACGCGAACTATGTGGCGGGGTGTGACATACCCCACTGACGTTTACGCACGTGTACTGCAATTACCAGCCTGTGTAACACTGAGATCACGCCACTATTCCCTCCCGGAACCTCTTACCTCCAGCTACACGAAGCTACGAAATCTAGTTATTATCAGTCAAAAAAATATCCCTAGGTAAACTAGTGCTGGGGTATGCTACACCCCACCACACTCCCGCCGGGTTAAAGTATGTCACACCCACGAAAAACTAACGTATGTTTCGTCAGTGAAGCAATCGCATTAAATTAATTCACACCTAATTACATTGATATTAGGTAGATAAGGCTCATGAAAATATGAAATTAGTTTAAAAGTAATTAGATCATAACAACATAGACTTGTAATAATTTGTAGAGTCAACATATGATTATTTTATTTTTTGAAATGAAATACAATCATTATTTATAGCTGCACACCATTATGGCACTGTTATAAAAACCAGTTTCATAAATAGCTCATAATTCTTCCAGTTACGTAAACACGTATCATTTATAAGTATATCGAATTTATCGCGATAGGAACAACGTTATGTTGCGATTCGTGTTAACTATCGAAATAATGTCACAATTACTCACTACCACCAGCACCACCCAACCTACAACATTTGTTCTACAAACGCCAGCTGCAATAACGACTGTGTTTCGTCTGTGTTGCAATTTTGTTGTCATTATACCATGTATGGTGGTTCAATTGATGTTAATAAGTCACGATTGATACGGTTACCCCGTTAAAATGATAGCAAGGAACTGGTTGCACTTAAGAAACATGTTTTAAAAATAATTTGGATCGGTTGTTATGAACATAAGTACCTAGCTTAACAAGATTACATTTAGGGGGCGTCTATAAATTAAGGGTAGGGGGGAGGAGGTAGACTCAAATCTCATCCTATTTTACGTTGGAGAGAGAGGGGGTCTCGATAAATATCACGTAATCTTTTTTTCTAATAGAAACAAAAAAAAATTGCTATTTTTACAGACTTCATAGTTCATTTATTCCAGATTGTACATGCTTAAGACTTAATTGTACATGCACATGGATTTTATTTCTTAATTGCAATAACAATCCAACGCGTTTACTTGAAAAACCAACATTTTGATAAATCTCACGCGAGATTGGGGGATGGGGGAGAGTGTTGAATAAAATCTCACGAAATCTCACCAAGGGGGAGGGAGGGACCGACAATTAAAAAAAAACATCTCACGTAATTTATGGACGCCCTCTTACTTACGTAAAACAAAAATATGTCTTACCAGAGCGACGACGGAGTCTATGGCGCGGTTGAAACGGTCGCACAGGGCTCTCATGCTGTCGTACGAGTGGGTGTCGTAGTCGCACAAGATGTTGTTTTCCAGAGCCGCTTTCATCTCTGGTAAATCGTCGCACACCCATCTGTAACAAGAAAAAAATTATTAGCAATCAAAAATATCAGTACTATGATAAAATAATAATAGGCGCAGACTCTCATAAAGACTTCCAAAACAAATTAAAGTTAATGGCAACGCGGAAAGGTAGCTGTAAATCCTAATAAGTATTTGTCACGTTGTACGTTACGTAAGCATGCTCTACTTTATAAGTTGTAAGGTCAAGGTCATGGTAGTTATTAAGTCAATCACTGCGTACGACGAATTGTAAGGGTTCTAAATAAAACAGTGAATTATGTTACTTTTAGCAGTACTTCGTTACGGTTTGCTGTGACGATAACGGCCTTGGAAAAAAACCGTGAAATCTCGTGTTTATAAAACGTTACATGAAGAACCTCATACCAAATACGAAGTTTTACGTATCTTAACTATTCGATTGTTATTAAAGACATTGATGTAAGCTATTTAATGTGATATTCAAAATGGAACGGATTGTATAACAGAGGAGTCACAAACTGGAAGTAGGTTCCATATGGTCATCACTTGAGTCCAGTTAGACCCTATCATATGCGTCAAAATAGTGTGGTGTTCTACACCTGGCGTATATTATTATTATTGGTGCTAGTGAAATGTTGGATTGCTATTAAAAGTCTCATAAAGACGGAATTTAGAAGGATTTTCATTGTTTTTCTAGCCGCTTTATTTCACTTGGCCATTAGTCCTCTTTAAAAAGTAGTAGGGCACGTAAAATGTACGATTGGTTTTGTTGACTATTGTATTTGACTGATAACACTTGTCTGTCTCCATGTCAGACGATATTTTGTTGATAATTTGGCTCGTTGATAAAATGGCCGTTTATCAACATTCAATGAACCTTATACTACAAATAGGTACTGAAATATTTCGTACAGAAAATGTGGTCGAGTGAAGACTGGATCTAACTTGAACAACTGAGTTCTTTAAAATTATGTAACATATATATTTATACGAGCAGCCAAAATACCTCGATTTGACCTCTTATGTCAATGAACTCTCTGTCAAAGTTCGCCATGGTAATTTTAAGCTTTATACAGAGAAATTGTAAATCTAATTTGAAAAATATTTATCTAATGAAAAAATAAATAGTTCACAAAAAATTCGAACAAAAATATTTATGTTAGAAAGGTAGGAACTTATACCTATGCTCCAGCTTTTTTACATAAAGATGAAGGAGTATAAAGAATTTTAGTAAGGGCGCGGCCATTTCGAAATAATAGGGATCGATTTCAAGGTCACAAACGGGTGAATGAGCGCGTCCGGACAAAAAGAGGTCACACTGAAGGTTCTCGCGCGCTCCTGACTACTCAAGCCCGAGTCGACCTGCAAGACTCGTTTTAGTTTTAGTCCTAATTTAGGATTATACCAATAAGCAAATTTAACTATGTTTAAGTGCAAATTGCCATAGAAAAACAGAAAAAAAAAGTAACAATTTTTGACGCGTAAAAATAACGTTTATTTACTTAAAAGTCTTAAACGTCTATGTATATAATAAAAAAAAACTGTTAAATATAATATCTCCATACTACATACTACTTAAATGGTTCTTAGTAAATGTTATAAATTCATGTTTAATTTTTTTTTTATAAAAATAAAAATATTTGATAGCCTAGTGAGTCGGCCCCGACGTCGTTGCCGGGTGGCTCGTGCCCGACAAGACAGGTGTTTCCTATCTACGATCTCAAAACAACGCACGTGTATCCCACTATAGCCTTTCACGTGTCACTTTCTTTCGCTCCTTGTTTCTTGCAATGTTATAAAGCTCTATAGCCCCGAGGAATTTACAAACACGTTTTCCCACTGCTCATTGTGAGTGTTGTCAAACATTACGGAAACAATTAATTGATAAGGTTGTATCACGCCAAAGTAATATTTAAGTACCTACTTGTAATAGTCATCATACTCCTTTATAAGTTATAAATAAATAACTTCTGTACAAGGAATATTAATGACTTTTATACTGCAATTGCACATTATCATTGCATGTCAACATAATGATAATGTGTCTGACCTTGACTACTTTATTTGTATACAATAAAAATGGTTTTCATAAATGAAATATGTATTACAAACTCGATGAATGCATCATACAATATGAATATCTAGGTCATTTCAGTAAAGATTAAGTTACCATTTAAAGCAAATACTTTCAATATGATGTTACACAGTATATTCAATGAACTTCGTGACCTCAGTTTTTATCCATTGAACTACATATGTATTATATATATATACTTTATCTTTCACATGAGAGATAATTATAATAGGTTATAGACAATATTCCTAATGATGTAGCTGGCATTGCTCAGCTTAAACCACATTTATTTTGTTCTATAAACATTTACAACAAATCAGGATAAAAAAAAGTAAAAAAAAAAAATTACCTTATAGTTTCCACTATCTCCAAGGCCCCATCGTGTTTGTCCTGGAACAAATGACACAAATTTCATAATCCTGATAATAATTTAACACATAATAATGTCAATTTTCTATTTTACTGTGGTTGATTTATATCTAAAAGTAATTTAGGTCAGGAACAACCGTTATCAGTAACACCGCTAATCAATTAGCTCACATTGCACTAGTTGAAATGTTAAATATTTGACAGAATTTGTGAATGATAACCTAAATATTGTAACAACATTGGTCATTAATATGTGTATGAGTTAGTAACAACTATTACTTTATAAAATAATTCGACGCTTCCAAACAATAACCCAGTAATCGATAAATCAAAATTTTACAGGAGAAAAGATTTACTGATTTTATCAAATACCTTTTCAACGAGTGGGACTATTGAAGTCATTGATGTGTTAAATGAAAGCTATTTTTTTGCGGAATATACCTGTGCCATTAAAATTACATTCCTTTTATTAAATACCTAGTAATTTAGGAAAATAAATAATACCTAAAATTTTATACATAAAATATTATGGTAATAGTACTTACGGGATTATTGCAGTAAATTTATCAAATGAAATATTTCATAACATTATATTATGGACTTCTACGGGGTTTTTTTTTATCGTGGGGCTGATACATAACGTGTTTTTACGGAGTTATTGTGGTAATTTAAAATATTATTTAAATTACCACAATAACTTTGGCTCATTAATGTACGTAATATAAAATATTACGTACATTAATGAGCCAATACCAATCTTCAATAACATTGTTAGTGTGTATTACGGAATACGTATTTTACAATGAATTCAACAAAAACCCCGTACACACGTTTACCTAAATCTTCATGAAAATTATTTACGGCAATAACCCGGTAATCGCAACTTACCAAAATAAAATATAAATTGTTTTTTCGTACAGATGTATAACATGTTTTTTGCCGAGATATTATTGTGTATTAATTCCCAACAATAAACATGTGCGTCATGATATCTTTGTAACTATTATTAGGAAAAATCTGAGAAAAATTGTCAAGGTGTATTCAAGTCCATACGCGCCGAAATTGACATAACAGCATAAACCCGATAATAGCACATTACCGAGTTCTTGGTTGGGAGCGTCGAATTATGTAAATTAGTGAATAGTAGGAAAAGGCCTATGGAAATACTTTTTTGACTGTTTATTATCCTGCATTTAACAGTTAAAGTACTATTAAAATGTATCATAGTACAGATAAGAAATTAACACTATTGAAGATGCTTAGAAGTAATAAGAATTTATGGAATTAAAAAGAAAATAATACCAATAGGAATAATTCCAATAATAATAAGTACAAACAATTTTAAATATGATGGTAAGACAAATGTTACTGAAATGGAAACAAGAATTATATTTTAAAACAATAGCAGGTAGCAGTCTTTGTGTTTCATAGCAGGTGTTAGCAAAAATTAATTGGCTAGTGTTAAAGATATTATTCAAAATGTTTATATGTACTTATAACAGAGGTATAATGTTTAGTTATGGCTTGTAATAGAAGCATTTGAAGGATGATTTTCACATTTAGTTATATTTAGAATAGATTTTTTATTGTTGATTTAGCTAATAAATAAAAATAATAAATTAATAGCTAATAATCTAGCTGAAATAGAAAATTATATAGGATAACATATTTTTTAAATAGGTATTAAATCACTCAATTGTGAAAAAAAAAACAATAAATTAATTAAACATAAATAAGGTAAAACTATTTATATGATTTACATTGAATTAAATTAACCCGTTGAAATCCATCCCCTAAATTTGGTCATACAGTAGTCTCTAAACATTATAAATAAGGCCTATAATGTAATGTAATATTAGTGGAAAGCGGTCACCGGTGACCGCTTGGGGATTTATGGGTTAAGATTTGATGACATTCATACATTGTATGTAATGAAAATATCATTAAATACAATTAAAATAACAAACACTGTACTGTTGGCAACAATCTTAGCTAATCTTTAAATGATATGTTAACCAATGTTTGCATAGGTACTTGAATTTAAATAAAAATATTACCAACAACTCATTAGATAGAAATATCAAAACTTTATGACTTGTAACAAAATAATGTAAAGTAAAAAATAAAAAAAAAATTCGATGGACTGGAAAATCAAATACTAACATTTATTTAATTCTTATTGCTGGAATCAGAATCATAATTATGTTTCAATACTAATTCCATTAAATTCATTTATATTGTTATACAGATATCTTTAGAGGTCTGAGACCTCTTGCCTCTCCTCTTGGTCAGATATCTGCTTGATGTTGGAACTTCCTTGATTCAAACATTATCAATTCAAGCATGAACTTCACTTATCAAACAACATTTTAAATAAGTAAATCTTAAAAGAGTAGCTACTGTCATATAATACAAACATTTTGTTTGTGTAGTAAACACTAACTAAATCAACATTTATAACTGAGTTTTACAATCAGAAACTCGCATAGCTCTAATCATATAAAATGTAAATAAATGACGAATGAAAACTACGCAACAGTGTGTACATATCTAAAAAAAGCCGACACCTTGACAAAACACGAGGTCAATACACTCTACTGCAATACCCATGTGACGTGAAGAAGAGCTTACCTATGTCTATTAATTTATTTGACTCCATGATAATGCCCTAATCAATAAAGGCACGTCGGAAAACCTTCACTGATATCATTGTATAATAAAAACGGCCGCTACATTATTCAACTAAACACGAGCAAGTACTTAGTGTGGATAGTCACTTGTTGTACAATAGGAGCAACGAGTCTCCTAAACAATTTAGTTACATCATAATTGATTACATGCAAGTTTATAGAAAAATAGAAAATAGAAACCTAGAAAGTCTTACGAGCGTCACTGTAACTAACTACACGATAATAAAATATACGATTTCCTTACCGAGCCATGACCTGAAGTGAGGGGCCATGTATAAACAACAGGTTCCGCGCCTGCAGGAGAATGCAGGCGTAAATCCAAAGCCATGATAAGAAAACCACTGCATTAATGCACACACTTTTCACTTAAACACTAAAATAATCACTAAAAATTCTAGATAATAACATAATTTCACTGCACTTTCACACACACACACTCTGAACAACCGGGCGCCATGTTGAAATTATTTCTAAATTCCAATCATGGCGGACTGTTGGTGTTGTTACTTAAAAAAGTAGTAAGTATTATTTGTTCTAAAAATAGAAAACCTAATAGGTAATTACTACGTCAAAAATAAGATGCATTACTATCAAAGTTATAATTAGGTACGTTTGTTTAAAAATTTCAAATATTAGTTTAAAAAATTGAAACTATATCTGTTTTAAGTCTTTAAGGATGTTAAATTTTGTAAAAATTACTGCCATTGAATTTGATAATCCGTCAATGTAGGTAATGATATCAATGAAGAATCAAGAATTTAAAATTGAGACTTGTGATATCTACAACTCGTAACATATTTAAATAATGTAAAAAAACGACAGCCAATCCTACGGTATTCATCTTGATAAAATTTTGTGTGAAATATCATAAATATTATACTTTAGTAAATATGTTACTTCTTCCGTTCTTCGTTTTTTATAAATATTTCAGCAACTTTTGTTTAATTACAGACGGTAAATTTACTGTAATACTGAGTTTTTAATGTACAAATAAAATTAATTTGTTTTTGAATTGATCTTTTAAACTTATGTTAAGCACAGGTTAAAGTTTAATGATTAAATATTATTTATGTGCTTTTTTTGTAATGACATTCTTTATAATTATTTTTCATTCCGATCCGATTAGAAATCTGAGTGATAGAATATCGATTCAGATGACGCCTATTCGACATGCTATGAATGGATGCTAGAACGATAGACTCACTGTCAGATTGACATTTCAAAGAAGTCAAAGTCAAAACTAAATTAAAAATTGATTTCTGTTTTCTGTCTTGTGTTGTTGTTCTATTATTGAATGTTCGAAATTGTACTTTCGTGTATAAATCACTAAAAAGCGGTCAATACATTTCACAACAACTTAGTTTCACAACAAAAAAGTATCATGAAAATGTCCGATTCTGAAGATGAGAATCAAACAGTAAAAAGTTTTGAAGAAATTCACGATGAAATTCAAAAATATAAAAGAAATCCAGAGACATCGGGGATGTTTGTGTCTGGGTGGGACGATGCAGATCAAGACGTCGAAGTTGTTAAGGATCCGAAAGGTGAACAATATATACTTACGGACGTTACGGACTTCAGGTACTAAATTACTTTATCTTGTACAATAATTTTATTTTATTCTTTATTCAGCAAACCCCATTGATTATGTACTGTGGGCAGCAGAAAATGGCGAAATCTGTATATTACGTGAATTACTGAAAAAGCAGCCGGGTTTAGTTCATGCTCAAGATGGTGATGGGTACACACCACTTCACCGAGCAGCATACAGTAACCATACTGATGTGATATCGTACTTGCTGAGCATTGGAGCCAATATCAACACAAAAACACAGCTTGGATGGACAGCTTTACATTCGGCATCAAACTGGAATAATTATGTGGCTGCTGCAAGACTATTAGCTGCTGGTGCTGATCCTGGGGCTCTGTCTGACGGAGGTAACAAAATTAACAAACTATTATTTTAGTAATAATACAAAATCTCCTATTTTTAGTCAGAATAGTAATATAGTGTGTGATGAATGTTAGTTAAATTATTGCAATATGTAACATTTAATACGAATTAAACATTGTTTTGTAATTTAAACAATCATAATTTTAATTTCTTTTTCAGGTCAAACTCCAATGCACTTAGCTGCAGCTATTAGTCATTGTAAGTCAACATTATTAATTTTATTCCTAAGAGATGATACTGTAGACATTGCGCATAAAACAAATAATGCACATGAAACTCCAGAACAGCTGGCTCAAAGACACGGAATCTATGGTCCTCTCTTCGAGATGATGACTCCAGCAGTGTCATATATAAAATCCATATCATTTACATGTAATCCTTATTTGAGGCAGAAAACTATATAAATAAAAAAAATGGGAACTCAGTTTAACTCTTCCTTTATTTGTTTAATGTAATAACTTAAAATCTGTTTAACATAAAACTTAAGTTATTATTCTTATCCTATAAAATATAATAATTATTTACATATTATTCCACTAAAATCTATATTATTATGTAGACAATAGTGTGCGTTTACCTACTTATAATATGTACTCTTAAATCTTAATTATAAAAATGTAAGAAATCAATGAATAAATAGTAGTGTTTAAAAAAAAAAAAAATAATGAAATACATGTTTTTTATTATATAATATGCTACATATTTTTACATTTTTACATAAGCAAAACTAGATCAACATACAAGCACCTGACTTGCATTGTGACAATCACAGAAAACAGTCCAATTTAAAAACATCGTATCTTTATTTATTCGATTTGATTAGTAAGTGTAGATACTTAGACATTTTGTCCAACATTAGGGCAGTTTTAGAAATATGAATTTTAGTAAAAGTGATACAGATCATGTTTTATCTATAAGTTCTTGAGGCCATTCTCTCAATGACATGCATTGCTCCAGATACCAAGTAAGTATCACTATGTAAGTTTTTCAAACTAGCAATTAGATTTCTCCTATCAATTTTCTGTAATTCAGATAATGATTGCCTTGTCTCAGTAGTCATGTATGGTAAAATTAAACAACCTAATCCAAATATTTTACACCTTACACAGTTTTTCCATATTTCTACCAAATCTTCATCTTTTATGATAGGACAGATAGGTAATAAATTTATAGCATTCAAACATTTCGCCCTCTGACGTTCAGTTATAGGATAGTCGGCACGTTGAAATGGAGATAAAATGACGGCACGCCACGCAGTACATGTCGTACTGTCGAGTTGAGAAGTAAGTTTCAGTAATAATGGAATCATTTCTTCATATAACCCAGTACGTAATAAAAGCGGAATGAGACTGCGTATTATATGCGACGAACCGAATTTGCGAGCGAGTTCAGCAGCTGTTTTTAATCCATCTGCATTTCCCTCGGTAGCCTGAAGTAGTTGTTCCAGACCTCGAAGTTTGTCATGCGTGAATGTAGCTGCTACCCATGGCATATCAATGCTCTCCAAGCTCACGATACTTAATAATTGTAAAAGCGACATCCATAGTGCATCTCGTTCACGGTTAGCTACCTTAATTGCTGTATCAGAGTCTACTACACTCATTAAACATTGAAGAGCTCTTAATTTCTTGGATTTATTGTTGTCACTCTCATCATCAAAAGCAATGCGGGACAGATATATGGCGCCCATTTTAGGGCAAGTTGCTTTCAGAATATATTTAGCAGTCATTAATTCTTTAATATTTAAAACTGTAACAGTTTTGTTATCTCCATTAGCTTTATCAAGTATATTTTCTAATATTTGAATTCTTATAGAGCTAACATTGATGCCGTTTTTGTCTGCTATTTCATTCACAGCGCGATTCACATCATGACGGCTCATTTTAGAAATAAAATCTGGATGTAAATATAAATTGCGGATGAGCTGTGCTGGTTCTGTAGAAAGTTTTAAGAGCTCCTCACATGCCCAGTCAATTTTGTATAAGGCATGTCGAGTGGATAAGGTTGCGTGTAAACGTTCCATTTGCCTAACAGCACGATTACCAGGTTGGAGGGCAGCCCAGCGTTGCGCAAATTGGTAACATAAATGAGCAGCAGCGACTTGGTCTGCTCCTCGAGCACACCCTTGCAGCACATAGAAGAGGCATGCTCCAGCCCATTCCATATTAGCAATATGTCTAACACATCTGTGGGCTGCACGTAATAAAGGTTCTTCTTGACTGGTTAGGCGCCATGGTTCATTTTTAGTGTCTGAGTCTAGTTCATCGCTGCGTTTTCGTGATGTCATGGTTTGCTTGACTGCGTTACTGCAAATCATATCTTTTGCTGTTTGCGAATCAGCGTCAAGAGCAAGCAAAGCAACCGCAGGGATCCAGCGTTCGTAAGTTTCTAAAGTTATTTCTGACTTCAAATTAGCCCACATGTCTTCTCGCATGAAAAGATGGAAAGGTAGTCTGAAATGTCCAATTTCAGGAAACATACCCTTTACAGAAAATAGTTCGTATTCGTATTGTTTAGGAGTGCTTTTACGTTTATAATCTTTCAAGAAATGTAGTAAGAAATATTCTTTTGTATTCTTTACCTCGATAGTTGTGCCAAAAATCAATCTGTAAATGCTAAGGAACACTTCATAGTAATATGGATTTATAGATACCGCGCGACCATGTAGAGTAACTTCGCCATTTTTCCAAAAATCATTCAGTATATCCCTCAAAAATTCTCTATTTTCTATGCTATCCCAAATAACAAAACATTTGTTTAAATTGCTTTCGTCGTTTTCTACGATCATCTGCCTGTGTCCCAATTCATCTGTGAATGTTTTATACTTTAATTCCCAGGTCGAAAGTAAAGCTATCAACTGTAGTGATAGACCGTCGTTTGTTGAGACATTCAGAGCACGACACAATTCTACAAGCCGATCAAAGTTGGTATTTGGGTATTGGAGAAGAACATAAAATAAAATAACTTTGACATCCCAAGTCTCTTCGCTGTTATCTGGTAAGGCAACATCTGCCAAATTGATGTTAAATTTCGATTTAAGAATATATTGTGGAGGATATGATACAGAATTTCCAATTTCTTTATAGAATGAATCATTATCCATAACAAAAGTGCGACGCATTGAAGGTGATGAAAGGTAGCCAAGAATGTTAGGTGGTAAAAACTCATTTTGCCCTCTTAGAACTTCTAGAATGCAATTATTTTCGTCGTAACTTTTAATAACAAGTAATAAACTTGTTATCAATACGTCATCAAGCTCTTGGTTTGCAACTACTTTACACACCAACTTCTTTGTTAACTCAAACTTCAAATCTTGCAATGATTGATTCGTTATTTCAGAGTTTACTAGAGAGTTAGAAACTAGTCGTAAGGAAGTGAAGTCACATTTGCTGTGAATACCTGAAAACTCTTTATCAAACTTATCTGGATACTGTGTTATTTTATAGAAGTTTATTAATTCATTTATAGCTGTAGTAGATGCAATGGGCAAAAATATGTAATGGAATTTCCAGGCTATTGACAAATTCTTTACAATAATACTAGCATTTATAAGATTGTGCAACAAGGACAATTGCGTTATTAAATTGTGCAAATACTCTTCATTACAATTAAGAGCCAGCTCAATTAACACATTGTAAGAATTTAGCAACAGATCAGAATTTTCTCCATATTCAAATTGTGATAAAACTGCAATAAAATCTTCAACAGATACATCTTTTGTCGAAAATGATCTTAAAAGATATTCAACAACTAACCGCACTTGTTGGCAGGTGGATGTGCTTCTTAACAAGGCAATAAGCACAGAATGTTGTGACTGACATGAATGTATTAATTGAATAACACTTCCACCGCGCCCAGAACTAGCGGTAGAACCATCTTGGTGTATCCAGTTACTAACTGCAGTCACACAGACACTTTCATTATAAATATCATTCATGTTTAGTAACAAATTGTAAGAGTTTTTAAAATTGTAAAGTGTTTCAATATTTTTAATTTCAATCTCATTTAAAAGCTGTGTTCCTTTTAAGAAGTCTATGTAATTCCTTTCAATGGTCAGATTATGAGTAGCTCCACAAATAATTTGATCATATTTGGCCATAACAGCTTTGAGTAATAACTTTTTTTCCTTTGTAGATAAACTGTTGAAGTAATTCAGTGCTGTTCTAGTTTCACAATCTTGAAGACATCTTTCAATATACAGAGTGTTTCCATAATTTGCATAAACAGGCATAACACCAGTTATACATTTTAGATCATCTAATACGATTACTGCAGCGCTTACAATTTTATGCAGGACTAACATGTAATCAGTACATGTCATTGGATAATTATATTTTTTCAAGACTACTTTCACATTTGCATAATTAATTTCTTTTTGGATTTCTTGAGAGAGCAGTCTTTCTGAATCTGACATTGTAAAGGTTTTGGTGGCATTTGCCACTGTTGTTACTGCCAGTTCTAGAACACTGGAGTTCCAAGGCACATCTAATACTTTTAAAACTTGTAGTAAGCATTCAAGTTTGTTATTATATGAATGAAAGTTCTCTAGCAAAATTTGCAAGCGTACACCATCAATGCCACCACCATTACTAGCTGCTTCACTTTCAATGTATGAACTTAAAATTTCATCCAAATCAAATAAATTTTTCATAGCATATGATGGTAAATAATTTTCTAAAAATGTTTTGAGGTCTTCAGTGTAGCAGCGTCGTAACATTATTAAAGCAACTTCATTAGGGCTTTGTGAACTTAATTCATTCAGGAACATATTGATTCTGTATTTGTCTTTTAATTCCATTATGTATGTGATTCTTGTTTTGAGTATATCAAGATCATCCATGGATATAGGTCTTAAAGAAATAGATTTCAAAGATGTTTCCAGTATGATTATTATTTCATCAACAAATTTCAATCCAATCTTTGGCCAAAATGTTGACTGTTCTAACATAAAAACCCTTTCACTAGCCCATCTAACAAATAAGTCAATGAAAAATGGATTTTGTTCCAACAATGATGGAATGAAATTCTTTAACCAAATCAGTATGGAAGACAATTTGGTACTATTGTTGATAGCATTAAGTATATTAACAATATCATCAGGAGTAATCATTAATTTTAATTGAGAATATTTCAGCCAACATATAGATGCAATATCAAAATCACATTTGGATATAAATGTTACACAAAGCTGTGTGCAGTTCTGATCAAAGATATTGACATTATTATATGTACTATTGCCTGTGAAATGGATATATTCAATTAAATCTATTTTGATCGACAAGTCACTTACCATATTGATTAGATCAGTATCTTTAGTTGTGGATATTTTCTTTTGAAGCGGGTATAGCAATGATTTGTAAATTATATTAAGTTGGCAAAGTTTCTGAGTCATTTCAATGAGGAATAGGTAATCTTCAACAGCTT